CATAAGTAGTTCAAGTACAATTATAAAGCAATCGAAAAGAAAACAAGACGAAATATTTTGTATATTTTTGCACCTGTTTATACCCGAATTATATTAATACCGTGATTTTATACTTCAAAGCAAGCGGAGCAAATAATATGAACGAGTGTATAATTATATGACCTAAGACAACCTGAATAAGTTAACATATAAATATATATCACTGTTTACTTACGATTATGTGTTTGAAAATTCTCCTCGATCCGTTTACTAGAATATCCAGTCAATGAAATCGGCTTCAACGAGACAAGCCATGCATCTTCAACGCCGACTGCGTGTATTCCTTGCATATGGTTGCATGTGTCTTGTTTATTTTGAGGCAGTCCGGCTTGTGATATATTTATGCTTTTGCCAGGCCAAACTGAACATCATATACGGTTCTATAGTCGTCATTATGCAGAAAAAAGAGCGAGAAATATCAGCTCAAATTTCATAATTTCCCACTTGGCCTGCCTCTTCTTGTCCAAGCTTTAATTAAAGTAAAAATCTTTCAACTGAAACCGCGTGGTTTACGCCGGCTTCAACGGCTAGCGAATTCCTTTTTTCGTTTGTTATTGAGCTGTCATGCGGACCTCCTGGGACTTTTTCGACAAAAGAATGGAGTCAATAAAGTAAAAACAACCTTTATAAAATTAATTCCATCGTGTTTAAGCAAGCACACACACAACGATTTTAGTCGTTCGATCATGTTTTAAACGGTGTTTTCAGGAGATCGCCAAAATTTTAATAACAACATGCATGTATTTATCGATTAAAATCACTCTGTGTTATGGTTTCTCCAGAATTTTAAGTTATAAATTCCACTATTGTGCCTAATTACAGAATTATGTCATAAATATTGTATATGCAAACAAAGAATAGCTCTCAGTATAACCATGCGATGAACTCTATAATTACAACTGGAGTGATACCTCTTTTTAAAAATGCCAATCCCATATTATATAGACGATAGTTCAGAGCAAGTGTCTTAACCTGGGGCCGGTTGTATAAAACTTTTAACTACATTTTGCCTAGTTAGATCCTAGTTAACTCACAAATACATAACTCTGATTGGTCAGTTCTGCCACTAACTATAGTTAACTGCCTTTTTATACAACCGGCCCCTGAATTCTGCTAAAATCTCATCTCTTTAGATAATACTGAATATGGAGTACTGGATATTATCGATTGTACTGAAAGTTATTGAAACTGTAAGCAAACCTGTGTCGATATCGTATTTGATGTGTATATAGCTATACATATATATAGAGATTACTTCATGGTTGGCGAGTGCGTACGCCTGTGATTTTTATGCACGAGTTGTGAAGGATCGCAAAACGAACGAGTGAGGGTAGCGAACGAGTGAGTTTGCGATCCTTCACAACGAGTTCATAATAAAAATCGTACAAACGAGCCAACCATGAAGTAATTCGTTCATTAAATGTGTATATAGAGATCAATTTGACAACGACACGCTTTTAATTAATATACAAAAACAGAGCGCCGGCAACAAAAATCGAAATTTTATACATCAAAACATATTTATTACCGTTCATTTTCTTTGTAATTGTGTTCAATAGAAGTTAGATATTCTTTCTGAAAGATTTGAGAATGTGCTGAATGTGAAATAATCTTGAATATGAGAATTATGTTTTGAATTTCACTTCTATATTTCGACGCCATCTTGAAAAAAAAATGTAAACAAATTGCCGCCAAAATGACATACGACAATTTCTCACGTGTGAAGAATATCGTACGTTCAACCAAATTGCATGAAATTAATCAACACAGTGAATACGATTTTTTTCTCATCATTCTGCTTTGCATAAATCCCTATACGCATGTAATAAATAATTGCATCGATATATACGGGGTGAAACATGGATAAATGAAAATAGATGCACCTCCCCTCCCCCAATCGAACGGTTTGGCTACAGCCCTGCATGTTATACCCCATGGTCTGCATGAGAAACTATATATGGAATTAATTGGACTGCTAGTCTGTAGTAAGGAACCGTAGAATCAAATTATTCTGATTATCATATATAGGCCTTTTCAAGTTAAGGATTTTGCGAATTTTTCAAATTCAAATCAATGTGGCAGGGGTTTCGTTTCAACTATACGACAAGCGTTCACAGACCTACGTTTTATAACACCGCACAATCGCTTATTCAAAACCTTTTAGGTTCCACTTATGTTAGCAACAATTTTCGTGGGAAAAAATATGAGTGAAGTTGCGAATTTTGTCCGCCCGTTCGTCGCCGTCGATCCGTCAATTTATGGGTACCTTGGGAGACACGAATTTTTCTTATACGCCACCTTCGGAGGATTGGTCATAAGCATTACGATGTTACCCATTTTATTCACAAGAATTCACGAGAAATATTCACGAAGACATATTGTAAGTTTAAAATGTCCAACATTAAACTTTAACACTGTCGAAAATCATTTGGGACTGGTGAACTGTGAGTTGTTGACTGTTTATGCAATTTCAGTCAATTTAAAAGCAAACGTTATTGACCACGAAACTTACAGTAGTAACTACTTCTAAAAGAACTATATAGATTTTGAAACCTTACGCAAAGATTTGTGATTTTAGATTGCCCACCTTCATATAGTCTGGTCGCTGCATTTACTCATTTCCAGTGCCCTCCTCACAAGAACCGCCGAAGCATTTGAAAATCCGCTAGAGATATTCGAAAACAAGTCGTTGTGTCAGATGTTAGAAAACGACAACAGCGCAACGTTTGCCTGCGGTTACCTCATTGGAGGAGCGGTAAGTTACTTACTGTTGGTTATAAATATCTTGCCTAACGTTTTACGTACTTCCATCCTGACAAACTAAGATGGCGTCAATAGGTCATGCCGAAATTGAAAATTGCATCATGGGACTGTTTTTAGGCGGAAATGAAAACTTCATTCCAAAAACATCCCCTTGATCAACCTGTCACTAGCGCTATTACCAATCCCCCATTCGACCTTCGGAGCAGCTTGATTGACCTACCATTTCATGATAACTAATTATAGCTAATAGCCCTCACTGTATTCCCCTAATGCCCCATTTGTCAAATTTGACGTATTCACCGTATGTTATATTATTATATTATATGTTAAATATAGCCATTCTAGCATTCTCGATACTGATATTGCATCGATCATTCCCAAAAAAAATCATCAACTTCCTGATAGTGTCGCCAACCAGTCACTAAAATCAAAATTCCTTCGCCGAAGCACACGTCCAGAAAGTTGATAATTTTTCAGCAGCACTTATATGTCAGTATATTAATTTATCTTTTTAGGCACTTGGCTTTTTGGCGGCATTGGTTTTTATTTTGGACTCGGTTATGTACTTCCTGGCTGCAGTCTCAGTAAACTATCGTGACTAAAGTTCATTGTATCGACTGAGGATGCAACTAACATTTCAGGAGAAAAGGAACAATTAATTTTGACAACAAATATTCATAAGATTTTATTATTTCGCATGCGGCGGGCATATCCATTAGCTAGGGTCACATAAACACTACTCACAACCTATTTTGCAACTAATCCTAAGTTTTCAATCCAAATACTTTTCGTTACCAAATACTATAGCATTGTGTAACACTATATAGTTGACTTAATTATGTGTAAAACTAAGTGACACGTACACTGAAACACATTGTAACACCGACATTGTAACACGTGGAATACTGCGCAACCCTACTTAATACTGTGAGATTCAATTAAAATAGTGGAAAACCATGTGTAACACCGTGTAACAGAGTAGTATATCTTACTCTTAATAATTCATAAGCATTTTAGCCTATGAAATGAGCCATAATAAGTCACGTGTTGTGGCTTTATACATGGTAAAGTATTATGAATTCTAATTAGAATGACACATATGGTAACCATAATAGAACACTCTATGTCTTTGCGCGTATCACGAGACAAAAGGGAAAATCAAAGTCTCCCAAGACATGTATACCTTTGCATGATGTCGTGTTAGCGGCTAATTGGATAAAAGATCATCGAAATAGAGCCGCACATGCGCATAGTGGGCGCCTGGGTGGAAACACACACAAATTTTTCATGCGGGCATGTTTTCGCATTGTTGTTGTTGTTCGTCTTCACTAAGCACACTTAATTAAACACACGAATTAGTCCCGTGAACATATGTCCGATTATTCTAGTAGTATAGACATCAGACTGCAATAACAGTTTACTGAAGTGACCAATTTGAAGTTAATTGTCTCAGATGAATATACTTTACATCAATCATATTGAACAATGTGAAGTTATCATCAACAGACTGATTGTAGGTAAAATCAATGTTATTAATTATTACTAACACTGATGCAGTCATGTTTTCAAGCTGTTCGATAATCTTTTCGTCACGGATAAACTGTGCTGTCATCGCCTTGCAAGCTGTGCGTTGTGCAAATTAATGAATTTTTCTACTTTGACTGATCATTAAATCTGTCTTTGTTTTGGAAAAGAGTCATACAAGAGGTTATACAAACATTTAAAATCTAGACCTCACGCATTCAAGGCGAATAACCGTCTTCAGGCGAATTCCTTATGGTAAAGATCTAACACATGCAGAGTAAGTTTGCGAGGATCAAGTAAAGGAAATATTTTGATGGAGCGTAAATTTCCGTGAACACCGAATATGAGAGAAGGAAAGACGCGCATGCACATGGTCCCTTCAGGATCTGAATAGTTACTGAAAATCCCTTTACTAAAATGATCTATTTATAATAATATTAACCCCGGATAAGAAATCGTTTAAAAGATGATAAGATTAGCTGGCTAAATCCATATCAAGAAATCGGAATAACTTGCAAGTGTATCAATTGAAATATTAATGTATCTCCTAGTGATTTAGTCTAACTTAGTTTTATTGAGGATTCACTGATTCTTTTAGTGTTTCAACTAGAAAAAATCTACACAAGAATAATGAGCAAAAACAGCAGGTTAAAGCTTCATTATTATTTTAAATGATTTAATTAATATAAATCTAACCCCCCCTAAATATACAAAATATGTACAGCAAAAATAAAGTAGTGTATCTCCAATGGATCGTCCTAATTTTCAACTTCAGCCTGTATGTTCAGAGATGATGAATTCCCTTCCTCTTGACTTCTTAAAGCAAAGAAAGATTTATATTTTTTTTGCATTTTGCACTTGCATATTGCAATATATATTCTGTATGCATTATTGCATGCGTGCCTGGTAAACCATACACTAATATATTAGCTTTACGAGTGATGATGTACATCAAGAAATGAAGGGCTCAATTATCCACGGGTTGATTTCATGAGGAGGATCATGTGGACAAGGGAATCACTTGCATGTTAACACCGACAATGGTTTGTAATGTAATCATAATTTAAGCAATTATTTAAATAAAAACCTTATAGTAATGTGACAGCCGTAAATCAGTTATTTACCTAAAACCCTCACGCATCTCATGGAATAAGAGTACATGCAACAATGCTAGTGTAATTAGAGCTTATTGACTTGACTTATATATAGCTTTGAAAACAATACCGAAAAATGTTTTCATTATTAAATTTTTTAAGCCACTTAACGTCAGTTAACTCAGGTCTGATCTCTTAATCTCAATTTGATAGAGAGTGAAGAAAACCTCTCCATGTCTGACAGGCCATTATGTTTAAAACGTCGAGTCATTATAAGGTCACGAACATTGAGGATCTTTTAAGACTGAAAAATATAGCTAATCGACAAGGTCACGGTTAGGATCAAAATATTGCGAAACATACACCTATGAAGAGAATAACTCGCGTTCATTGTCTTATACAGGGTGTCTCAAAAAAAACGCAACCACTTAAATATGCAGAACATTAATACAGCTCCAAAGCGCAATAGATAAGCACTTCTGGGAATTAAAAATGGCTCTTAATCCTTCATTTACAATGCTAAAAGTCATTTTAGCTGAACTATGGTGCAAACCCGAACAATATTAATATTCTTGCATATTTAAGTGGTTGCGTTTTTTTTGAGACACCCTGTACATGCACACTCACCCTGATATCGTTGAAGTAGGCCTAGATGAAGTACAGCACTGAACAGGAGGCTGGGTTTCCTGACGTGCCACATATTCCTCAACATCGGGATTAGGCCAGTGTAAATACCTTTCAGTCGGCTGCAAACCCAGTTCCTCGTGATTCTGCCTTCGTGGATTCTGCTCTCCGCCATTATCGGGCTGTAGAAGTCCTTGTTCCTCATCAGCATTTGCTGGTAAACGCTGGTCTTCTTCGTCGTTTGGTTGTAAACGTTGTCCTTCCGCATCGTTTTCAGGTGGAATCTCGTGTAAAGGAAATTCCTCCTCTCTTTCATCTCCTCCAACTTCGCCTCGATTCCGTATTTTAGATCTCTTCCGCGCTCGTAGCAATAACACCAGGGAAATCACGGACGTGATCGCGCATAGAGAAGTAACCGACACAACGATATAAAGCCATGCTGGTGCGCGAGAACTTTTAGCAGTAATATCATTACTGTCAGGTTCATCCTCGTTCACTTCACCTTTGGGTACAACAGAAGGGTACCCCACCAAGGGTGTCGCGGTAGGAGAGAGGGTGGCTTTTGGAAATTTACCAGTTATTTTGGGTACTTCCGTTGATGTTTCTGCCGAAAGTGGACTTGTACTTTCCGTACTGGAGGATTTGTCTGGTACTTTTGAAAAGAAAATGTACAAATATAGTAATTAGTAAGGAAACCTTTCACAAGTAAATTTTTCGCCATATATAAAATTAGCGATGATTGTTATATGCATGGTCTGCCTTTTGCGGTATTTTGTTTTAATTGTTCGATTAAATAACTTGTGGCCATGGAGACTGGAGTTTCTCATTTCTCAATACCTAAATGATGAATTATAATATAACATTTATAGTACGCGCGTGCTGATTGGTCGAGAAGCGTGTTTCTATAACTGTATAGAAACACGGGAATTTTCCCGCCGTACTTGACAAGCGAAGCGATGTAATGAGAATTTGTAATTGAATCGAATCATAATATTTGTACAAAATCTTTTTATTGAGTTATATTATAAAAGAAATAGAAAACATTTTTTCCTGTGTTTCTATACAGTTATAGAAACACTTGTGGGAGTTTGAGAGAACTCGAAATAACGTGGAAAAACTCGCCCTACGGGCTCGTTTTCCCACTGATTATTTCTCGTTCTCCCAAACTCCCACGCGTGTTTCTATAACTGTATAGAAACACAGAAAATGTTTTCTATTTCTTAGTGGTGGGCGATACCGTGAGTATCGATTTCGATACGACACCAAGTACTTTTTCATCGATACCACTGGTATCGATACTTTTTCGATACCGATACTTGTCATTAGACACAAAAATACACATACTATCAGTAAATGTAATGTATTCTTACAACAATAATCATTCTTCACTGGTATCTAACTTTTCAAAATAATCCTAGACTACACTTTGTGGACGAGCATTCGATATAGATGCCATTTAGGCCATTTGAGTAATTTTACAAAAAAGATTGCATGAAAAAAACACCTGGAAAATGACTGGAAATAAAACTGTACTCATGAAAACATTAATAGAAGAACTTCATGTAACATCAAATATTAACAATAGTTTGACCACATGACAAGTATCGAAACATCGATATTTTACAAAAGTATCGATACCAGCTTTTGAGTTCTGAGTATCGGAAGTATCGATACTTTGGTATCGGTATCGCCCACCACTACTATTTCTTAATTATTTGCTATTCAGTGTAATATGCATCAAAGGAATTTAGACAATTTTTAGAACAACCGACGTCTAGGCAACAATAACAATGAAGAAGGATATTTAAAAACACAAATATGATCGCGTTCATGGCAACGGTACACGCAATGGAATCTTTTACATGTATGCATTATTATTTGTCTACACGTTCATAAGTTACAACTGTATATACGTACATACATGCGAAGGAAAATTGATGAGTGGCATTTAAATATTCAACATGCATGCAGTAATATAAACAAAATTTGATCAGTAAAGACTAAAGTAAAGATGAAACGTCAAAAACTGAAAATTTGCATACTCGAGTACATATGCAATTAAGAATTTATAGAAATATTCGAAACTAAATGAAAACCTAAAATATGTATTTGTTTGAAATATATTTTGAACGATTCGACAGAAATTTAGTACAGAAATCAAAGGAGCGTGCTGGATCGGCTGGGAAGGCATTTCTTTTGACGCATGTAAGTTTTCAAAATGTGCTTAGGTTGGCAATCTCGTCTGGCGTGCAGCTGGTACGTGCTGATATGCACGTTTGTATATAATGAATGTTTCCTTGAAACTTTAGTTCTGATTAGTTATTACCATACATCTATATCTTCTCTCTCTGTATATAAGTAATTCTGATCAAAATATTACACAGCTTTGTCGCTGGGTACGACTTGACTTTGGTTGACGAGCAAATACAATGTCAATAATAGATGCAATAATATATATATGTATAGTTACAGTTGCCATAGCATATACAGTATATACGGAATATAGCACACACTTATATGTAGTATATTTTCTCCAGCAACTGATATAGTCGAGAAGTGTAAATTAATCACCCATGTTATGGTATATATAACTATATATATAGCGTTTCATATAGCGACCAGTAAAGTATAAATACCTTAGGTTATATATAAGGAGGCAGTCAAATATCGGTGTTATGACCAGGAATATCCGCAGTTTTCACTGATATAGCTACATACAGTATTTCCAAATCTTCCAAACATATAAGGTGGTTTATTGTGGGGAAGAAAACATGCTTTCTTTACATGACAAAACAACAACAGTGCTTCGCAAGCCAGTATATATAATCTCGCATAAGCGACATACCTCTAAAGTCGACGCTCTACGATTCGAACCGGGCTAGCGCGATGTTTTCTTATTGCCGCTGGGATAACATAACACGATAGGGCATGGTGAGATAGACACTGTTAAGGCATTTAGTTAAAATATCTGTATCAATTTTTTACTAGAAAGTCTTACCACGACGGCACCAGTCAGCACAGCGCTTTTGATCTTCATACGGCTGGTCGTAACAGGTTTTCCAATTTGGTGGGCATTCGACGCACTCACCACTTTCTACGAGAGTTGTACTAAGGTACTGCTTCCCACGGATACAGTCGTCGGGTTTCGCTTGCAATGATAAAACCACAGAACAAAAGAACGTAAGAATTCTTTGAATGTACATAACTGCGTGTGTCAGTGACATATAACTGAGAATGATGTGCCGTTAAAGAATGTCAAATGCAAATATCAATGTTTTGGTATTCTACCCCGCTTATATAATGTAGTGTTTCCATTAACCAATAAAATCTTCAGCAGAATTAAATAATTACATCATAATTCGAAATGATGCAATCATGTTTTATTAAATAACAAATATATACCACCTCGGCCTGGGCGAACGCCAAACCGGAAAAATATAATTGAACAATGCATTCCCAAAATTCTGGTTTAACCACGTTCACTTGCTGCATGCTTTTTTTACTGGTCAACAAGACAACAACAACCGCGATAATCTGATTTCGTGCCTTCATATGATCCCTGCATCGATGACAACCTTTTTCGACAATTTTGAACTTAGAATATAACGATAAATTTATTAAGACTTTACAAAGTCACACTATTGTACTGTCACTGGAAACGCGGGATATAAAACAGATTGAATAAAATAATAACCTAGCTGGCAGATAGCATGCAACATTACATTGATCGCCATACATTTTTACACTGGTTTGACACAATATTGTTAATAATTTATTTTGATCACGACGTCGGGGAACCAGCCATTTTCTCACTTATATATTTACATATTCTTAGTTCTTATTCAGTAAACATTGTAATCTTGGCATTATACTTAGTAAAACTTACGAACCTAAGTTATAATTTGTGATGGGAGTGCAGGCGATATAAACAAGGTTTATATATAATAGCTATATACGTCTGTCATATAACAAACTTAACAGTTAATATAATTATAGACCATGCACTGAAGATGGGGCTTTATAAGCCTATACTTTCCACTTGTGCGTTTCAGTCTTATATACGCACGTACACGTACGGAAAATTTTAAATGCTTTTAAATTCAGTTTATTATTTAACATCTAGGTCAACTACTGCATAATAAAATAGCCAGAAAACTAAGTTCCTTCGATTTATTCACTTATTTTTTTCAAAGGTGACATGTATATAAGGATTTAGACTTTTACGTGCGTGTATACATGCGTATATGAAAAACGTGGAAAATAGCCTTCAATCAAACTTTTATTAAACAACACGTAGAGAGGACGTTTAGGGGCTTACTCTATCATTATAAATTATATAAACAATGAAGATGTAAAGGTTTGGTCAAAATTAGAGTAACTTAATTTGAATTAACTTAAATCCCATAAAACTGCATGATATAATATATAGCTTAGGCAAGCAAAAAATCGAAACTTTTCAAAGAACGGAAATACTTATAAAAAACACCAGGCTATACTTATACTTTTCAAAAACACAAACTCAATAACAGGAAGCAGGCAGGAAAACACTTATCTTCCTTTTTAAACAGTTGTAAAAACATTGTATACATGCATTCCTTTTAATTAAAATGCATGCATGGAGACTTTATCTTCTAGAATAAGCGGAGTTGAAAATATATATATATATATATATATATATATTATATATATATATATATATATATAAATTATATAGTATATATGCAAAGTCTATTTGACTAATATGAGCAAACCAACCCAGAGTTTTTGACAGTGTTTGATATTCCATGACATTATACCTAAACTTTTGATAGCTCTTTTAGTTGAGATATATGACTGGTAATCCACATATTTTGGCAAATTAAGGTCTATTTCAGACGTCGATTGTTCATTTGCATTTGATTCGGCACATGAAAAGCTCGAAGTCTGAAACGGTCTTTATTGTGACAAACAGTGAAGCGAAACCTACTATTAAGTATTATATACCACTATACCATATAGTATTATAAGTATTATATACCGTATGCCTTTATTATTTGTCATTTCTGGGTGTAATATATTTCGGGCGGAGTTATCATTAACCAGCGTAAATAGCGCGTCAAGTATAATTATATATACTGTTCAGCTAGTACTTGAGTATTTTTCGCAGTAAATATAGCAGAAATTCAGAGAATATCGATCTAATAAAAGTACCTATTGCATGTATATCACTTCATATATACATGCATACAGACATATTACATTTGATAACCTAATCAACAAAATCAAGTATATATTTTTAATGTATCAGATTGGGTATAGCAAATATACGACTTTAGGCTACACCATGCATGCATATATTGTGCAGTGTGCATCCATGTATTTATCTTTTATAAATCGCAACAGTTTTATCTCAGTACATGGATGTTTATCAAAACCTTGTATACATTCAATATTCTATATATATAGATACCCTATATTTTCCAGGTATAATATTAGACTGTATGTATTGACTCTGCATGCGTTACGATCTTTATGCTGCGGACGGATCACAAAATTTTCGCAAGAGTTTGGGTATTTTACATATTTTTAAGAAAGCAGCACTTTAATCACAATTAGCTGAAGCGGAACTTGAAGTCATTCATTCATTTACACTAAGTTTGGCTGTTCGCGCATTGAAAATGACAAATATTCCTGTCGTCACTCGACAGACTATATTATGCTGCGAGGGCAAATTCGGTACTTGAGAGTCCAAAACCGATTTTAAAGTTATAATGACTTATGTTCAGTCAGGTTTTGGGATCGTTTCTGGTCATATAACAATTTTAAAAATGCTATAAATTGCGCATTTTTTATTTTTTTGGACAAAAACTCTATATTTATAGTATATATTTATTTTCATCTTCAAAACCATAGCGAACAAATATAATGTGTGAGATACACGCAGGCAGTTCATCGTATTTCGAACTAAAATATAAAAGTTCAGAACGTAAAAAAGCGTTTGTTTACATTGCGACACATATAGATAGCATCTTTAAATTAAGCGTGCATGACTAGCTACTTCAGCTTTGTTAAAAAGGGAAATCGGATATCAGGAAAAAGTGGTCACACACAAAGGCCGGTGTATGCATATGCAAAACAATCCATCAAAGCAATATTAGTACGTATAACAAATAATATATGAGCAGGCAGAGCAGCTACTTTGCATAGCTTTATAACTTTTCAAATGAATTAAAAAAAGTTTCAATAAACTGTATATATATTGATAATTTTGAGCGCATATATTATTACAATGGCATGAAAAAATATTTAAATATTTGTTTTTTCTATAAATATATAGTGAAATACTATAATTGAAAATAGTTAAATATTTTTTACAATGACTAATAAATACTGCAAATATTGCGAAAATTTTCTTTATGTACATGGTATAAAGTCCAGCGTGTTATTCGGTACATGCATGTATACGGTGAATAAAAATTTTCCATATACACTAATATCGAATCGTATTTTCCTTTTGCCTTTTTGATGCTCATTTTCAGTCTGGATGTTCAAAGATGACTGAAAATTGTTTTCCTCCTTTTCCTTTTTAATGCTCATTTTCAGTCTGGATGTTCACAGATGACTAAAAATTGTGTTCCTAATTCTTTGCCTTTTCAATTCTCATTTTCAGTCTGGATGTTCAAAGATGACTGAAAATTGTCTTCCTCCTGGATTCTGGAAACAAAGATATAAATATTCGCCTTTTTAAAACGCCCACATTTTGTCAAGGTATGCTGATACGCATGCACCGTCAGATGATTATAGCATCTTATTGTAACTTAAACATTCATACATTATATATGTATCATAACCGTATCGTAATCGTTCGTTCTATGTATATAGGATATATACTCATTACAAGTGATTTCAAGGAATTGTGTTTTGAATTTCAGACACACTATTAAGACATGTCCGTGGCTTTAGGGTTTAAGATAGTATATAGTATATAAGAATATATATGCCGATTATGACTATGCACTATATGATCCAATTTATTTCACTCAAGCTATACGTATGAAAACTGATTTCACATTGTTACAACGTGCAGTTTAACATCAACTAAAACATAACTTTGAACTTACCCGACAATCCCTGAGGTGGATGTGGTAGCGCACTGAACAGGAGGCTCAGTCTCTTGACGAGGAATATCTGGTTGCAAACACTGTCCCTCGTCGGCATTATTTGGTATCTCATTTAAAGGAAGACCTTCTCCACTATTTCCACCGGCTCGGCGTTGCTTTTGTTGTTGTTTTTTTCCGGCGCGCGCGAACCAGCAACACCAGGACAACAAGGCACACAACGGCACAGGAAGAAAGAATGGATGCAACGACCGCCTGAAGCGATATTTGCCAATGACGGCTTCTATCACCATCATTATTGGAGCGAGGTTCATCTTCGTTCGGTTCAATTATATTCGCAACCGAATAAAATCCAACGTATCGTGTGGAAGAAGGGGTGGCTTTAGGATAGCTAGATGTTGGTGGCAAAGGAAGTTTTGTACTTGAAGAAGAGGCCTTCTTTGTAATATCTACAACTACAAGAAGAAAATAGGAAGAGATGTTTTAAAATGAAAGTCCTGTAATAACTTGATTTTATACTTATAGTGTGAATTCTAAATGAAATTTCGCGTTTTTTATGCTTTATATAGTTCATCTCACTTATAGCTCTAGAACCGATTGTTTAGTCGGAAGCTGAACATTATAATATAGAAAAATAATTTTACAGAGAAACATCTCTTAAAACGCGGCAGTAACAACTGCCTAGAATATACAAACACATTTCTCGATGTTCCAACTAAAAGGAGCTTTGTCTGGAAAGAGTTCGTATTATAATGATTCTCCTGCCCAGCCCTTCAAGTCGAAACATGTTTTCTTTGTCTATTCCGTTGTTGCAAACGAGAAGATACTCGAAGACGCTTCGCCGTCACTCCCTAGTTGACCTAGTTGTATAATTACTTAATTGCATTTATAAAGCTTCTATGCGTGTTAATAATGTTAAAACATAACGGATACTATTAGTACTTTGAAGATATCTTTTTAGCAAATCAATGGGTAAGTTGAGTTCGCATAACGTTAAGAGTTCGTTTTTAGATTTAAATGGAAACAGCCCAAATGATCAGTAGCTTCTAAAATCAAGCCTTAAACAATGAAACAGTATGCGGCACTGTGGCAAGTAATTCGTGTGGGAGGTAATTCGTGGGTGTAAAGCGACCATTTTGCTGCGTGGGGCATTTTTTTTCTGCAGGGCATAATGCGTGCATTGACACACGTCTTTACCATATCGTTCTTTTTAACACATATATTTCAAATTTTCAAAACCCGTCGAGTTTCTGTGTTTCTACTACAAATACTACATCATATTATTATAATGTACCAACCTATTGTAACCAGCGAAACTTGAAAAACCCTAACGATATTATAAACGCCGGCTATAAAATCAATTGTACTGGTCAAATTGTAAATTAGTTTAATCTATCCAATTTTAATATAGTCTACTTTTTAAAAACTGGTGAATCAACTCCAACGGCGACGCAAATTAAACTTAAACTTTGAGGCAATAGGTATCGCCGTATTATTCAAATCATGCTGTCAATTCTTATAAATCAGCCATAAAGCTATTTCCTTTCACGCCGACATAAGTTAACCGCTCAAAATGAATATAAATTATAAAATGCAGATGTATAGATTTCTTGATGCTTACGAGTTTAATTTGATCGACCGTCGACGGACAAAATTAATAAATAAAATATTATACATAATATATCACTAAATGACTAAAAGACCACATTTTAACAACATACTTTGTTGTCTCAGTCGGAAATTTGACACTTCCTGTGGTATTGCGTTATGTATTGGGCTTTATATATACGATTTATGGTAAGCAAAAATACTGGAAAGCGTTCGAAGGAACTAAGAATAGTTTGGTTCTATAAACGATCCTGAATATCTCAAAGTTTCTAAACAAAGAGCTTTGTGAGTCATATTTGAATATAATGTAAACAATATATGAGTTGCCAGCACTTTGGTCTATGGCTCTCTAAGTGAGAATTATAACAAATATATCGACAAATACGTTTGGTATTGCCATGCAATATTCTATCTAAATATCGAGAAGAACCGTAACTGAGCCGCATGGTATGCTGATTGGTGATAGATAATTAGCTGGTGATGACAAGTTTTCCCAGACACGGCAAAGTTGATGTAAAAAGAATTCATCATTTGACTTACCACGGCAAGAGTCTTCGCATCGCTTCTGGTCTTCATACGGCTCGTTGCGACAGTTCCTATAATTCGGTGGACAGGCCACGCAGGCGCCACTGGGATTGATAAAACTTGTACTCCAATATTGCTTCCCTTTAAGACAGTCTTTAGGATTTTCCTCCAAAGATAATGTGACGCAGGTAAATAATGCCAGAACTGACAACCACTTGTGTGACAGCATAGTTGTATATTGACGAAGAATACAGGAGAAATGAACTTTCTTTACTTTACTTTCTTTGCCAAGGTGTTGGTTATAAATGTTAAAGTCGCCAGCGACTTAGTATATATACCTGGTCTAGTATAAATGTCCATGCATATCGTGTACACGTGTTGTGACATCATGTGTCTTAATGACCAATCAATGAAGACTTATTTAAAAACCAATTGCATGAATAATTTTGGCCATATATGCGGTTTATAAAAATCTAGTTAAACAGGTTTTTTGCGGGCAGGGAAATCACTGACAACGCATTGTGACGCTACGTCTTCCAAATTGCGCTTTTGCTTATTCTAAATTATGATTGGTATATAAACCCTATATAAACTTGGCTAGCTCATGCAACGTCATAATATATATAATCATCAAAAATACCGCCTATTAAAAATGGTTACGTGGATCGGAGGCCGGCTTTTCGCCACCATGGGTAATTTTAAAAGAAATGTGCTTTGCAATAAAGTTCAAAATAGGCACGAAGCGAAAAGTTTATATGAATTATGCTGACAAATCGATTAGACCACCTTTTTAAAAATGCTGACAAATCAGTCTAATTTTATATTGCGTAAACCAAAAGCTATAGATGCGAGGGTCGAACCAGAATGAAAAATTTGATCTTAAACATATACAGTTAGTGTTCACAGTCACCAGCTAAAAATCTTTCGAATTGGTCTCTTTCCTTGTGACCATCCATGTCAAATGTATAGCTATGCTATAAATCTAACTATAGCCAATTCATTTTGCTTGGTTTTTCGCTAAGATCATGAGATAAATTTTAAAACATTTAATTTTGATGACATGTCATATTTTTGAGCAATGTCAATTTAAAGTTTTGAAGCAATAAAAAGATTATCTTGTATACAAACACATGCGTTTTAATTAATACCGGGCGATAGGAAATGACTGCAAAATGGCATTTTAACTATGAATATATGCTTCAAAGAGCGGGCATAAGACAAAACCCGTTCGCCGGGCAGACGAACCGGCGGAAGTCAGCATTAGTTACACCTTTTCTACAAAATCGTTAAACACGATTCGCAATTGTTTTTCACGAATCCGATGAAATTTTGATGAAATCTTAATAATAGAGTTTGGTATATGTCCACGAAAAAACACGAGTAACTAACTTGTCATGACAGCAAGTTTTGATGCATGCATGCATTAAATATTATATCCTTTTCCCGCGCTTTCCGCATTGCCACTAGACTTGCATGCGGTTATATCAACAGTTTCCTAAGTCTATATATTCTTCAATATTGTAAGTCAATACTTACAATATAGGGGCTAAATCGTAAGAATTCTTTATTAGAAATACTTTAATTGTTTCAAATAAATTTGAGTGCATGCACGCAAATATTTAAATAAAATGTCACGGCATGTTGCGCGTGCATAATATTCTATATACTATTGTCTAAATATTTTTTAAAAAACTAGATAAATATTATTTCACTGTGTTCTGATAAAAAAACATGTACAGGGGAAGCTTATTTGCAAACCGCGGAATCAAAAGACTTTTTTCATAATCGCGGAAAGCGTAATTTAAAGAAAATTTAATTGCCTCCAGAGGCAGAGAGGTCTACCAAAATGAATAATCATTTCATGATAAGTGAGCGATAAGAATCGTTGCATCGCTGAAATCAAACCATGTCTTCATTTTCGGTATCTTGGATTCTGCCAGGGAAACAAACAAAAAGCAGATCATTGAATGAAATACAGGTGCATGTATATATAAAAAAAATATAAAAAGGTGTATATATAAAAAAGGTGTATATATAAAAAAGGCAACAGTTAATATTCGTGAATATCCAATGTTTTCCAACACAAAAGAGAAGCTATTGCAATCCCGGTCGACCCAATGCTAAAATCTATTGTGCTTTAAGAACAATATTAATTTTAGAATATTAAGTGTTGCCTTTTTTATACACCCTGTATATTTGTCTATAAATTCCGCTCGAATATAATAGCTACTATATCCATTTACCAAACTCCTAGCTCTGATATATATTTATCACCATGCATTCATATAACCTTCATAGTTTATATTCAACAGTTTTAATTGTTATTGTGTTATTGTGTGTGCTTGTGGTGGGAGTAACACCCTACCGAGTGGGATGGAAATTAGATTAAAAAAATAAACAAATGCAGGCACTAACAAGACTTAAAAGTCACACAAAAAAGCACGTATGCATGTTTAGAATACCAGGAATGCCTACCATATAGAAGAACAGTTAAAGCATGCCTACCATAGGCTGTAGTACACTTACCCTCCCAACCTTAAATTAGAAACGGTTGCTTGAATTGGTCGCTGAAGGGTTAAAATTTCTTCGCTTTCAGTCATTTTCTTTCGCGATCGGCATTTTTTGACCATAAACACAGTTATGATCAGAATCGCGAGCAACAAAACGCCCCCAAGAAGTAACATTAGCCATAGCGGTTGTTCGTTGCTAGATGGAAGCTTTGGTGGAGAGGAACTAGTTAATGACGAAATTCCCACAGATATGGACACTGTGGAAGAATGCCTTAGCTCCGAACTCGTTGGAGATATCGAGATGACTTCCAGTGCGGATTTGACATCTGAATTAAGTGATGAATTAAAGTCATTATATAAAATACAATATACTGATATTGATCAGTGCATGGCCCTATATTAATTAGTCGATGTCTATCCCCATTCTGTTAATGAAGGGCTGCCATATAAACACATGCAGCTATATACGACTGTGTGTAAGTGTGTAAGAAATAAAATACGGTTGATTTTATTCTCTGATATTTTTTCAAGTTATAGCTAACCTCCTAGCACAGTTAATCCCACGCAAGTGTTGTCACAGCATGTAGCTATACTTGTGGGCGACTGCCTTCTTACTAACAAGTCTACACAGCCATCTAAGAACAGCCCACGCCATTTACGTTAACTATAGGGAATCAAAAATTAAGGCGCGTATATGCGCGCTAATCGTGCATGATATATTTTGTTTTCAATAAACAGGTAATTAGCAAGATAAAGTATCACGCGATATTACTTTAACGGGCTTGAAAATAGCAAAAGCTATAGGCCAATACGCCGATATCTTCGTACATGAATATAAAGCAATGTCATGTTAAATATTAATCAGTTTAGTCTGTCTGTTTATAAGATATGCAAAATAATACATATTATAATTTACGGGAATGTATGTGTGTGGGGAAAGTGAAATTTATTAATATCGGGCTATATCTGTTATAATGATATATTTGGCCCCTAAACATTTATGAAAAATATTATTATAGCTACCTCTTTACTGACAGCAACCCCGGCCGGCTAACAATAATGCCACATGCAATCAGTGACAGCTAGTAACATGTAAATGACTTTACAAAACGTCAAAAGTCGACAAACAGTTTGTCGATGAGTAGTTTATTTATCTACAACTAGAGCAATGTAAATTAATACTTATTTGTCATGCAATGACAGTATATATAGTGACAATTCATTCAATTTATATGTGTCTTAATTATTGGCAAGCGAAGCGTAGTAACTAGTGACACACATTTGTCTGTAACTCTCTAAAGAGATCTATACATAAAGTAACGAGTTTACTTTAAGACATTCAGCAGGATATAAAAAACTTACCATGCCGGCAGGAATCCACACAGCGTTCTTGGTCGTTTTTTGGCTGATCATAGCAGTTTTCCCAATATAAAGGACATTCAACACACGTTCCCTTCTTATTTAGAAATGACTTGCTCCAGTATTGAGAACCCTTCGCACATTCCGCTTCTTTCTCTTGCTTCGAATTCCCTGGAAACAGGAACAAAACGAAGAATATCGGAAGAATAACGTGTCTGTCAATCCCAATCCTCATAGCAGACAGATGAATAGTATCGCGGCGAACACTTTCCGATGTAAGGAATCTAATATAGGTCGCGGAGCATTGTAAAACAATAATGCCCACGTCTTTATTTCTGCTTAGCTCGCAAGTATGATTGATTAATAATTTATTATATTTCAGTGCATGTGGGCGATCAATTACACGATTGCGTGGAGATATGGTTCTATGTTCGAGTGATTGTTAATGCAATGAGATTATTAAACCCCATCTCATTCTTCTTTAGATCTCGGTTAACCGGGCTCATGTAAACAGCAGGGGCCGGTTGTTCGAAAGGCGTTTAGCTTAAACGGTGGATAAGTTCAAAATGGAAAACCAAATTATCTATTTATTGAACAACTGAGCTGAAATATTTCGATGTAAATAGTTTAATTGTCAATGAAAGTACATATTAAATGCATAAAGATACAGGTTCAGTCATTCACAAGATGTACGAGAGTATTTTTAAACTTTGGCTTATCCACCGTTTAAGCTAAACGCCTTTCATACAAACGACCCCAGTAGTTAATCGTCCAGGTTAATTGATATGATTAAACTAAAGTGTGTTAGGGATCAATCTCGTAACACTCTTATCGCATTGACACACATCATTATGATCTGTTGAGAAATTTATGTGGGAATGTAAAAATATAATTGAATGCTTGAAAACATATAATTATAATTTGAATCACCGCCTACACTGTTGCAATGAAAGATAAACAGACCCTGCATGAAGATGAATTCTCGTTATATTTCTTCAAGACAAAACTGCATGATACCGATGTCATGCTGTTGTGAAAGCATTGATATGAACTGGCGCATGAATGCGTGGGAGACGGAATAACTCCCACTCATCTATGACTATAAAAATAGACTATTTATTACAGAAAGAAATTTTCCTTTTATTTAAACAAGTAAACACCTAATTCAGAATGGATATGCCGTTTCATTATTACATATTCGTTTGTATACCATGTCACGGTATAGATCTTTCACCCGACATTTGTCGCAAAAGATCTATTTCAAGTTCAAATAATAAAGACTATACAAGGACACATATACGACTTTGCAAACTCTATATAGCCGTGTTCAATTCAGCAAATAGTTAAGCCCGCCTTACAGGAGAGCTATTAACTGAGCTAAAGACCTCGCAAGGCTGTTAACTCAGCAAGTTACTCTCATGTGCGCGGATAGTTTTTCGCGTAAGGAGCGAAGTCGCCTCGAGAAGCAAGTTTCTCACGTGTGATTTGGAGCAAATCATGTTCATAATATATATATATATATATATAATATTATATATATATATATATATATATATATATAATATATATATATATAATTATATTCTTTAACAGGGTGCTTTTTATCACCGCGTGAGGTGTACATGTATTTAATAATTTTTTCTTACAACGTCCGTGTGTATCTACTAATGAAACGACAAAAAATAACCTAATATACTTGATATAATAAAAAAAATTAAAAAGATGGATTTCAACTTGTCACAGACCCGGATTCGTGGATCTGTTTAGTGATAGATCACAGCTTTCGGACAAAATATTCTATGACTATATATACAAGTTGAAAGGACTTAATTTCGAGTGGAATTACACTCACACTTCAAATTCAAGCCAGGAACAGTTGATGGAAAAAGCTTTTATTTTAAAATGCACATGCATGTTGATACATATAAATATATATAATGACTATTATTATATACTAAAGCTTTAAAGTATTTTTAAAATTTAAACATTCTAGTAAATATTTGTATGTCTTCATTCAAGATTAAATCGTTAATACACAACATATTTGCGTCGGCTACTATAATAAATACTCACACAAACAAACTGGAAATACATTCATGCAGAATAATTTCGCCTATAGATCGCAGAATCATTTTGCACCAGTTAATATTTCTTAAGTTGCGAGGTCAATGAAAAAGAAGTTAACTTCATTTGCTCAAATACAAGAATATAACAAGACTACAACAACACGAAATACGAAATCAGCCATATATACCTGCTTAAAACACTTTTAAAAAGCTTCAAAATCGTGCACTTTTTCACATCTTATATTCCAGTCAATATTCTCCTGTCAATTTCAATTTCTGTGTACTTTTTCTAATCATTCGAGGTTAAAAATATCATTTCAAAAAGGCCTATACTTTCCACGTTCATGACATCATCATGTCAACAACCTTTGCAATCACCATATACCAGGGTGCAATAAGTCTCCGGACAGAATTAGTACCCTCTAACAGAGCTTTGCGCCGACTACGGAAAAATTTTAAATACTCTGACTCGATATCAAAATGTTTTTCACAGCTAGGCCTAGGATGATCTATTTTATATCCTGCATGTCGTCTTTTTCAGTTTCTTGAGTTCTTAAAAGAAACATACGGTAATATTAATTATCATGCATAAGTAATTAACGAGTATTGCAGCATAGCTATACACATTCTAATCATGTATAATTTTTTGTGAAATCTATATATACCAGTTGTACAACTCGTGACTTCCCTTCCACGTCAACAATAATTTAAGTCATTCCTACGCATTCTTTTATGGATTATGGAATATGGAATATGTCAACAAAAGCCAAGAAAAATGGACTTTCAATATTTACACTAGTTCAATTTCGCTTTGTAAGCATGCTGAAGACAATATAAGCGATACTTGCTCCAAAAGGATTTTTAAGGCAAAATATATCAGGTTACAATATTCCTTTGCGCTTAGAGTTCATGATTTAACCTTTGCAATTTTGAATAATTTGTATATATAACTTTATTAGTCTTCCACGTATACATTATGGAAAGGCAACCGGCTTGTGCGTAGTGTATACGTGGCAGACTGGCAGTGACTAATAAAGTTAAAACCCGCTTTACTTATGTCATGAAGCAGGCAACAATTTTTCACTGCATTTATTCCATTTATTTAAAGTCATGTGACTACGAATAAACCATGCAATCACCTTTAAATACAAAGCACCAATATAACAAAGAGTTATATTTCAAAATGTTATGATTCTGCTTTTATATATTCACATATCATATGTTCAAAAGATATTCACACACAAAAGGAAATCAAACTGGCATTTAATACACTTACCCGCCACGCCTTAAATCTAAACGAGTGTCTTGAATGGGTAGTGCATTCTGAGATCTGCCATCTTCTTCAATGCCCACGCGACGCAATCGTTCCTTTTCAGCTCGTTTACGATGGCTTTGAATCAGCCGCACCAAAGCTGCAAACAAGACCAGAAGAAATACGACAGTGAGAGGAACAGCGATCGCAATAATCTTTCCCGGCTTATCGTGACCAGATTTGTCGTTCGGTTTTCCTCGGTATATTTGTGAAGAAAACGCCAAGATTGTACTAGAAGTTGAATGAAGTATTCGTGTCGAAGTCGGTTGTGGTTGAGACTGCACTGACGTAGTAGTTGAACGGATATCGTTGTATGAAGGAGTTGTCGAAGTCATTTTGTTTGGCTTGGTTTTTGGTTTGGTTTTTGGTTTGACTAAAACGACGAGATACAACGTTGAGATAACGTTTAGATGAGTTCAGACAAATAAAAACAGTTTGTCAAAAGTCAGTTATTCAATAAAGCGTAATTTGATATGCATACAAAATCTATGAAATGAACCCTATAGCACACTTTTCTCAAAATACTATAGTAGTTCAGCAGACATATTCAAATCTCGTGTGTCAATTATATGCAGTAAACAACAGGCAACATTAACAACATTATATATGATATATATCTTAGATAATAACACCATAATTTGACAATATACACGCGTTTTTATGAGCTTCTATTAACGGGTAGTCCGATAATCGGTAATCCTATAGCAACTTAACCCTTAACTATGTATGCATTTTATTTGTAAATATAGGATGCGAAGGGGTTGCTGGTGAATTGTAACATTATCACTTCAACTATGCTGGTTGGCATTCATATATTTTAATACTTAAGGGGTTTAAGAATGTATCTCATACATCGGGTTAAGACTTAAGTGCCACCAAATCTTAACTGATTTGCCCTCACTTAACTTAAATGTAAAAAAGGCTACAATCACTTACCACGACAGGATTTGATACAGCGGTCTTTATCGCCGCCCGCTTCTTTATTGCAATTCTGCCAATAAGGTGGACAACGAACACAAGCTCCATTTGGATTTAAGGCAGACTTGCTCCAATACTGCTTTTCTTTGACGCAATCCTCGGCTTTTTCGCCTACTGTTGATCTCGGCAGCACGAAACTGCTGAGAAATATTAAAATAGCGACCTTCCTACCGTTTCTCATGGTGGCAAAAGATATAATATACTCACGCATGTGTTCATGCAGTCGTCTTCTTTCAAGTGCACGAAACGGACTGATCATTGACCGGCTAGTGTCATATGATCTATAATCATGCTGTGACGATGTGTCACGATAAAATGTAACTATATAGTTACCACATTCGTTAGAAATATATAGGCAATATAGCAAACAAGATCTTATACCGGAATTCTCGTATATCATAAATGAATTTATAAATGATTTTTTCCATATATTTAGGCCTCAAACTAAGCTTTAATTTGAACATTTTTTCGCTGACACAAGCATTTTGCATACCGGATATTACGTAAACGAGTATATCTTGTCACATGCATGCATTCTTCAGCATAGTGACATGTAGCCACGTGCATGACCGTGAAACCCCGAAGGTGAAACGGTGAGAAATGACGACCACAGCAATTTTACAATTGCCACGAATTCCTGCTCACATTCACCATAGAGCACACATGAGCAGGTGAATACGATTCTGAATATGAATACGAGTTATAATGCTCACATTCACCGGCTCACATTCATCATAGATCATAGCAAACTAAAGCTGTGTAAATATTGACCAAGTATAATCGTAGTTTGAGAAAGTACAACAGTTTCATTGTTTAAAATGTAATTCATACGGTAAATTATTTCAGTCATTAAATCATAATCATAGTTTCGCTATAATTAAGGAATTGTGAAATTAGGAAATAGCAATTAACTTGTGCCAAAACATTTCACTTTTTTGGCTATTTCATCCCCGTCTTATACTGTTCTTTATTGTGTTTTTCCATGTTTTCTCGCTGGGCTAGCCAGTAACTGAGTAACATATACTTGGATGTTTTTCCGGATGTTCTCTAGCGTGAGATCTAATTATATTGATAATATATATTTGCGCATGGGTTTATATGCCGCCATATTTGGCATTTAGGAATTTGCACTTTGTACGCGGCAGGACCGCATTGATTATAATCGCGGCGAAACACTTTTCGTTCGATGTTTAAATTAATTGCGATGACAGTCAGTCAATACAGGAGGTAAAGTTCAAACGTTTGAGAAAAAAAAGGGGGAAAAGCGTGGCTAAACGCACGCGGCTCAATTATATGATTATATGTACGACCTAAAGATAAGAACCCACAAAACCATGAAATGGTTTAGAGTAAAACACAGTTAATAGAATATACATGGTTTGGAGACTAAATAAAAGTACAATACAACTAATTAACTATGTTATTGTCCACGTTTATGCAAAAAATGGTTCCTTTCTCGTCACATGTCTATTGTAATTTAGCCAAACGTACCAATGGCATTCGTCTTGCTAAGCTCATCAACCTTGACTTGAAAAACATGTTAATTATAAGATTGCTATTGGTTTATCTGTGCAAAATACAATAGACATGTGATGAGAAAGAAACAATTTTTTTTGCATAAATGTACCTCAAAATAGTTAATGAGTTGTATTGTAGTATTATATGGTCTCCAAACCATGTATATTCTATTAACTGTTGTTAATCCCAATGGTAGAACGAAACGATTAACTCTTAGCAATAACCAATGAGACAACACTTGGGTTGAACGGTGCGCAGACAAATCGAACTCGACAGAATTTGAGTATCGAGCAAGTAAAATATTATAACTTTAATCCAAACGTTCGTGGGGTTGATAGACGTGAATTGACACAGAATTGTGGCAATTGTTAATCGTGGAAATCGGTTCGAACTAAATAACATGACAATGCAAAAAATATCTATCTAGTACTTAATATTAACACAATAACTCATTGTTCGTGCAGTATCATAAAAAACATGCGACTATATGAATAGAAGTAAATCTATCGAATACACTATAAATTAAGTCTAAATCTGTACGTGGTAAATCATTTGACCAGTTCAGAATACCAAATTAAAACGCAAGCTACAAGTAACCTAACTAACAAACAATTGTACTAGTACTGAAGAAAGATCAATATGTACTTACTTTGGTTTCCACGCGCACCGACGTTGACTTTATTGCTTTCGTGTAGAACGTGAAACCGAAACAAGTACACAAACGAACGTGATAGAAATTTCTAAATTATACTAAATCCACCGACATAAATTTTGATGTCCTCTTACTAGGAGTAACACGTTGAATAGTGCCTTGATCTTCCTTGAGTCACGCAATTTTACTATTATCTACTGCCCGCAGGCATTTAATTTTACGAGCATGCTGATTGATATTAAGCGTTAGATAGCGTGGCGTCAAGGTGTTAGGACTAAACTTGCCTACAAGTAGGTGTTTCAAAACTAACATTCCGGCCCCTTAAAGGCGGAACCATGAGCAGCCTTTACCTATAGTTCTAACACATAAAGTTTTGAAACAAAACACAGATTATCTACTAGAGACAAACTGGACAATATTGATCTAATTGTGACTATTAGGTCCATGCATGTTATAGAGTCTACTTATCGTTCTGGTTGCCATCAGCTTCCTCCAACAACACAATCTTGTTCACCGGTCGTATGAGCTCACTCGTCCTTGTCTTCAACTTCACGGAGCGTACGAGACCATCGTTGAGGTTGGTATAAACTTCCAGAACTCGTCCAAGTGGCCAGAAGTTTCGTGGTGTCTTATCATCCAGGACCAGCACAATGTCATTGACTGCGAAGTTCCTGTGTCGTTTATTCCACTTCTGCCGAACCTGCAAAGTTGGAAGATATTCCCTGATCCAGCGGCGCCAGAATACGTCTGCTAAGTACTGTACTTGGCGCCATCTCCGACTGTATGCATCTTGCTTGGTGGTAGTTGTGGGGGAAGTGTGGGCCCGGCTCTCAACAACAACAGGTGGTTAGGGGTCAGAGGTTCCATGTCGCGCGGGTCATCGGAGAGCTTGGTGATTGGTCGTCCATTTACGATTGCCTCGACTTCGCACATCAATGTATTAATGCCTTCGTCGTCCAGGATTTGTTCTCTGGTCACAGCCTTGATCACCTTTCGTGTGGTTCTGATACACCTTTCCCAGACACCACCATGATGGGAACCAGTGGGAGGATTAAATGTCCACTTGACATTCTTTTGTAGAAGAAATTCGTTGATCTGTGATTGGTTCCATTTCTTCACAGCTTCACGTAGCTCTTTCTCTCCCTTTACAAAGTTTCCTCCGTTGTCCGATCGAATTTCGTCTGGTTGGCCTCTCCTCGAGATGAATCTACGCAGGGCATTGATAAAAGAACACGTGTCTAAAGAGCTTGAGACTTCAAGATGGATAGCACGGGTCGTCAAACACGTGAAGAGGACGCCATAGCGCTTCACTGTCACTCGTCCACGTCGCACTTCGAAGGGCCAAAACAGTCTACTCCGGTGTATGTAAAGGGGGGGTTGGAAGGTGTTGTTCGATCCTTCGGAAGATGAGCCATTTTCTGTTGACTCACAGGCGCTTGTCGTTTCTTGCATCCAATGCATCGGTTGAGCACCCGGCGTACCGTCTGTCTGCCGTTGATGATCCAATAACGCTGACGTATTAAAGACAAAGTATACTCTAAACCAGAATGCCCGGCAAGATTGTGATGATGATTCACGATCAACGTTACGACGTGGTGATTCTTCGGTAAAACAACTGGGTGCTTTGCTTGTTGACCAATCGGTGCTCGATCTAGGCGACCTCCAACGCATACGAGCCCATGTTTCAAGATTGGGTCGAGCTTGAAAATTTTGCTGCTCTTCTTTAGCGCCCTTGCGTCCTTCGGACTTGTTTCGCTGTTGACTTCGCGGAGAATCTTTCGTTCCTCCTCGAAACACTTCTTCTGTACGTGCCTTAGAATCACAGATTCAGCATTCCGTAGCTCCTCTACATCGATGGGAGTATATGTACCGTTGGAGTCGTTCGCTACTGGCTCCCCGGCCCTTCGTCTTTTGATCTGACGTTGCAAATTGGTCTTGTATCGAAGGATCCATGCCATGATTTTTCTGAGGTGATTCCAAGATGAAAAGCGTTCAATGATCGAATCGATAGGATTTTCATCGGATTCTTTGGCGACTGTCGAGCAAACAGAAGGCTTCTTCACTTCTAAATCTGTATCTTCAGCGTTATTGAAGTCGGCTGGTCTCGTTGGCCAGTTTTCGAATGGCTTTAAAAGGAACGTTGGACCATTAATCCATCGTTCGAGGGCATCCGGTTGAACTCCTCTCGACGCATCATCCGCGGGGTTGAGCTCTGTGTTCACATAGTGCCACTGAGACGGGGAAGACGAGTTGTGAATAGCAGCGACTCGGTTCGCTACAAATGTTTGGAATCGTTTGTCTTCGTTCTCGATATACCGTAACACGCACGTGCTGTCGGTCCAAAAGAAGGATTGATTGATACGCAGGCTGAGCTCTCGTCGGCACATTCCGTCTAATTTCGTCGCTACGACTGCAGCTGATAACTCCATTCTTGGGATAGTAAGTGGTTTGATCGGTGCAAGTCTGGACTTGCCCATCACGAAAGAACATTTTACCTGATTACCTTCGTCTTCGATTCTCAGGTACGATACAGCGCCGTAACCGTGTTGCGAGGCGTCTGCAAAATGGTGTAGTTGGATTGTTTTAATCTCTCCGTGATCTTGGGATTTAAAACAGCGGTCGACTACGAGTTGCTCTAACTTTGGCAGTTCTTCGAGCCACGATCGCCAGCGATTGAGATGTTCTTCGGGAATTTCTTCATCCCAACCTAGCTTCATGCGACAAAGGTCTTGAAGGATAAGTTTAGCTTGGAATACAAACGGGGCGGCGAACCCGAGTGGATCGTACACCGAGCTAATGATCGACAATATGCCTCTTCTCGAGGGAGGACGGTCCTTTATAACGATGCTGAAGCCAAACTGATCGGATGATATATTCCATTGCGTTCCCAGAGCTCGCTCGACAGACCAACAGTTGAAATCGAGGTTCTTGACGATAGATGCTCTTTCAGATTCGGGGATCGCTTCGACGACCCTTCTTGAATTCGACAGCCATTTCGTCAACTTGAAACCTCCTCGGGCCAGCAGCTCACGTAGTTGCTGTGACAGATTAACAGCTTCTTCTTCTTCGCTAACTGACTTAAGGCAATCGTCGACATAGAAGTTCCTTTCTACGGTTTCAATAACCTTAGGATCAAATTCAGCCTGGTTATCTTTGGCGGTCCTCTTGAGTGCAAAGTTGGCACAGCTTGGTGATGACGCTCCGCCGAAAAGATGCACTCGCATTTCATACTCCTCTGGGTCTTTGGAGAGATCGCCGTCGGGCCACCACAGAAACCTGAGGGCGTCGCAGTCACTTGAAGGGAACGCGTACTTGATAGAACATCGCCTCGATGTCCGCCATCATCGCCACCGGTTCTTCCCTGAACCTCGTTAACACGCCAACGAGCGTATTCGTAAGATCCGGCCCCTGTAACAGCTGGTCGTTCAACGAGGTGTCACGGTACTTGGCAGAGCAATCAAACACGACGCGAATCTTTTCGGGTTTTTGCGGGTGGAACACCGGGTGATGGGGAAGGTACCAGAATGATTTCAGCGGACCGATATCTGTGTAGTAGCCTTTCTTGCATAGTCGTTCAAGAATAGATTGTCCATAAACTTCTTGTACTTTTCCAGAAGTGATGGATCTTGTTGAAGTCGCCTTTTAAGAGATCCTAGACGTCGTTGGGCTTGAGGCATATTATTAGGCAGGTAAGGTGGGAAATTTTTCCAAGGCATACCAATCTCGTAGTGTCCATTCACTAACTTTACTGACCCTTCCATTATGTTCAAAGCCCTTTTGTCATTCTGTGACATAGTCGATTCGAGTTCACGGTTCACGTCGTTAAACTCCATATTACAAAACTCTTCGAAGCGCTGCTCCAGTGTGCTGTCTGCTTGAACGGATTTGCTGTCGGACGTCGACATCTTCTCTACCCAGCGGTCCATTCGAACCCATCCGAATATTGTTTTTGTGGCAAAAGGACCCCCATTCTCGCTCATCCGTACTTCTTCAGGCTGTAGCATCTCTGGAACGTCGCTACCGATAAGGAGGCCTATGTCAGCATCAATGTGTCGAATTGTTATGCCTTTTAGGTATGGCCATCGTTCGATATCTTCTTGCCTCCCAATGCATTCTGCGCGAATAGGCAGGCTCTTGGTTGAATAAACCTTAGGGAGATCGACATGATTTCGTTGATCCAGATCGAAAACATCCATTCGACGAGAGAACATTCAACTGGGGCACCTTCGCCGAGCATCGTTGTCAGCGACAACTTCGCCTTTCTTCCTTCGTTGTTCAATGCCTTCAAAAGGCCTTCTGTACAAAAGGAGGTGTTTGAGCCAGAGTCCAAGAACGCGTAGGTTTCTACCATTTCGGTGCAACCTTTCACTCTAACTCGAACCGGAACTACAGCTAGACCCGTGACCGAGGACTTCTTCAACTGTTCCCTATTTGGAGATCTCCTTACGTAACCGTTGTTGGCAGAATTCGTTGATCCCTCAATTTCTTCCTTTGTAGCTTGATTTGAAAGGGGTTTTTTGTCTTCGTGATCATTAGGTGTAGACTTGGGATGTAGAAACGTTGAGTGTTTACCGGTGCATCCTTCTATCTTACAGAAACTCTCTTTAGGGCACGAGCGTACAAAATGTCCAGCGTTGAAGCAATTCAAACAAAGTCTCTTGTTCTTCACGAATTCCATTCGCTGATCAAGTGACATCTTCCTGAACTTTCCGCAACGAGCTAGCCAGTGGTTTTCATTGCAGGGACATATATTCTTGTATGTCCTGCCGTCTTGGTCTTTGCCACCCGCTTTCTGGTCTCCTTGGGTTGCAAAGCCGTTTGCTCTCCTGTCATGCGTTCTCTTTCCCTTTGTTTCCTCTTGTCTTCCCTTGTTTTCGTTCACAATCTTCCCGAAGACTGGGTGGGTAGCTGCTCTTGCCTTAACCGTTACGAACTCTGTGACATCGTTTATCGTGACATCTCGGCCTTGCTTAGCTACGATCCCATCGACAACATCCCGCCACTTCAGTCTCATTCCAAACGGCAAGCGGTTAATAATCTTTCGTAGGTTCTCGGGATGGTCCAGTTTCGTCAGGGAGCCGATTTCTTTCAAGGTGTTGGTGCAACTTGTCAGTTGGATTGAAAACTGGAGAAGCCCATTTCCATCTTCAGCCTTGATTGGTGGTCCTTCTGTCAGTTTTCCTATATGCGCTGCAGCTATTCGAAAACTCTGTCCGTACCTTTCCTTGAGTAAACGTCTTGCTTCGTTGTAACCCTTCTCTGGTTCCATGGACAAACAACTCTTCATGAGTTCCTGGGCCGGCCCAGACGTGTACTGTACTAGGTAATAGAGGCGGGAGCTGGAACTTGGCGTTTTCGTTTCGACAAGATGTTCGAAACTTCGGATGAAGTCACAATATTCGATAGGATCTCCGTTAAAGATCTTCATGGTAGGTTGTGGTAATGTTAGCGCTGTTACACTTGCATCTGTTGCTGAATCATCTGTTGAAGAACAACGTTCTGGCGGTCTTGGGTTTCCATTAGACGCTGGAACGAGTGATCATGAGGGAGCGCACTGGCTGGAGTCCACTCCGGAGTAGTCGGGTTTAGCTGCTGACTATTGAACGCTTCCCTTTGTCGTAGGCTATTCTCTGTAGCATGTGGTTTGAGAGATGCTGGTTTATTTGCGCGGACGTGTTGCTGAATCGACTTCGCCGCAACGTGACGCGAACGGGCAGATCGGTTGGAGTTAACATCACTAGCTTCAGATTGTTCATAGACATGTTTCTCTGCTTCCACGGCAGCTATTTCTGCTTGAAGTTCGACTTGGGATTTTTTCTGTTTTATTTTGAGCTCTTCCAATTGAAGTTCATGCAGTTTGTTAAGCGCATTCGCTTTCGCTTCAAGCGCGGCTTGTTTTGCGGCAGCTCTTGCCCTTGCGCTGGACGAACTCCTAACTGAGGTAGCGATTGATCGTGTTTGAAAACGCGACGACTTGTGTGATCCGGCAGTGGAAATAGAATCCTCTGGTTGAATTTGGTTTTGGCTTTCTTGCCCAAGTTGAATAGCCGGTTGTTCAAGCCACGATTGAATTTTCGTCCTATGCTCCGAAACGAGTTCGTTAACCGAATTAAAATACAATTTAGATTCCTCGACTTCATGCTCTTCTTTGAGCAAATTATGGTAAGCTTCATGCGCAACTTCGAAATGTTTTAAAACTTCATCTAGTTCCTTAGCAATTTCCTTTACAGAATCGACATTGTCGCATGATGTCAGTATCTCATTGACTTTATTAGCCTTTCGCGTTACGTTTCCTTTTGCAATACTTCTCGCCTTTTTTAATTGATCCATGATATGTTCAATATCCGAGTCCATTAAGACGCGTTGAGTGATTTTGACGTTTTAAATTAAGATAAAGTTCTCAGGAAATAACTGGCATTCCTTCTCAGTGCCCGGAGCACGAAACGAGAGGTAAATTCTTCAAATTCTTTCAGTGTGAAACAAATTCGAACTTAAATGTTAATCCCAATGGTAGAACGAAACGATTAACTCTTAGCAATAACCAATGAGACAACACTTGGGTTGAACGGTGCGCAGACAAATCGAACTCGACAGAATTTGAGTATCGAACAAGTAAAATATTATAACTTTAATCCAAACGTTCGTGGGTTGATAGACGTGAATTGACACAGAATTGTGGCAATTGTTAATCGTGGAAATCGGTTCGAACTAAATAACATGACAATGCAAAAAATATCTATCTAGTACTTAATATTAACACAATAACTCATTGTTCGTGCAGTATCATAAAAAACATGCGACTATATGAATAGAAGTAAATCTATCGAATACACTATAAATTAAGTCTAAATCTGTACGTGGTAAATCATTTGACCAGTTCAGAATACCAAATTAAAACGCAAGCTACAAGTAACCTAACTAACAAACAATTGTACTAGTACTGAAGAAAGATCAATATGTACTTACTTTGGTTTCCACGCGCACCGACGTTGACTTTATTGCTTTCGTGTAGAACGTGAAACCGAAACAAGTACACAAACGAACGTGGATAGAAATTTCTAAATTATACTAAATCCACCGACATAAATTTTGATGTCCTCTTACTAGGAGTAACACGTTGAATAGTGCCTTGATCTTCCTTGAGTCACGCAATTTTACTATTATCTACTGCCCGCAGGCATTTAATTTTACGAGCATGCTGATTGATATTAAGCGTTAGATAGCGTGGCGTCAAGGTGTTAGGACTAAACTTGCCTACAAGTAGGTGTTTCAAAACTAACAACTGTGAGTAAAGTAGTATATAAAACACGGATTAGGCTTGGCAATAATGTATTAGCAAATTATATTAAATCAATTTATTAATTATTATATTAATTTTTATAAACCATTTGATGCTAGAAGCTCTTATATATTACGAAAAGTTAGTTTTTTATAACATTTAAATTCTTCTAACTACCTAAAGCAATAATATCAATAAGTAAATAAATACAATCATATCTTATTTGTGTAAGTTACATATATATGTGACTTGATTCTGAGTGAACTATAATTACTAAAAACACAAATAAGATACATAAATAATTACCACAAATATAGAAAAATACTCTGATACTCTAAATACTCTATATAGATAAAACCACATATGAAATATGATTTATGTTGTGACCGAATTCATTCATCGACTTCGGCCCAATCGCCTCGAAAAGCTATTTCGCATGAAAAGGGCATATGAAAGCATATTTTGTATTTTGGTCAAATTTTGTTCAAACCGAGTTTTCAGATTTTGCATAAAACTATAATTACACCGGTTTAGGAAATATGAAACCAAACTTTCGCAAACATGTATCAGCAGCATTGCATGCACGCGATGTATGCGAAAGGTGATTTTTGATGCGATGGATTTTCAGTGCGATCATACAGTTTCTCCGTTTGACAAATGCAAACGTGTCTTGATCACTGGTCTTCATTCGTCGTTAAACATGGCTCTCCTTAAGGAGGCTCAGAGTCAGAGATGATGTCCCTTTGTCGTTTTCGGTGTCTTGCATTCTTAAAAACAAAGAAAATTATTTTTCAGGCATGGATTTCTTATTTTATGGTGGAATATATTTCAATTGCATCTGATCTTTTTTGATGTTCTTTGCCTTAAATTTCCTAATTAAAGTGAGATTTTGGGCGACACACAGCCAACACTACGGAATTCACGAAAACGTGTTCTGACATAGAGAGGAAGTCGCCCTTCCGGCGCTTCGCATTGTCGAAATAACTGCGGTGACAGTTAATAATGTTGTCTAGACATAGAGATAAACTTTCAACGTTTGATATTAGAAGAGGATTAAAACTGATTAAAACAACGATACAACTTCACATGAAAGACCATAACACAAATGACTTTAACAAATTCAGGTAATACATACACAAATTAGATGCTATTTAGCAAATTAAACTAAGAAGTGATTTGTGTATGACTAGCATATACAAACCAGTGTAATAGACGCGTGCGGTGTTAAAAAATATTTGACCCTATTCATTGGATTGCATGTGTATAAGTGTATTCCTATATGAAAATTTGCACGCCCGCAACACCATAAACTATAAATTTTATTTAAGTAGCTACTATTATAGTATGTATGTTAGTAATAAAAAGAAATTGCTCTATTGTACGGCGAAAATATTTATCTTAAAAAAAATAAATTCCAAAAATATTCATTCATATATCTACAACGACCTGATTCCACGAGCTAAATTTTCAAGTAAAATGTGAAATATTTCGCCTGCTTCTTTTGAATTGTGAGGAATCAAAAGGAATTAATTTATATATGAAGTGGTCGAAATTCAAAAATAACTTTCGCCGAGAAAAGGCGCCCGTGGAATGAGGCCCTAAAATTGCCCGCCGGTAGACGGTAAAGGGAGTTAAGTAAAAGAGAAGGTAATCATGCAAGCAATTTAGCAACTCTGAACTGGTGGCAATTAATATAGGTAGCTACTTACCCATCAAACCAAAGAGCCGAGTTAGAAGAGGTGGCTTGAACTGGTAGAGCATCAATCTGAAAAGTTCCATCTTCTTCAATAGCACCATTGCGATTTAAAATATCCTCTCCATGATCTTCTTGTGAAGTCTCAACTTCATCTCGATTACTCGACTTCAAATCTGATAGTCCTACGGCCTCCTCTGGGTCCTGTCTCTGAGCCAGCGTACTTCGATTACGACGAACCAGCAGCACCAACACAGTCATCAGCGCCAGAAATGCGATTGTAAAAGCGGAAATCGCAATTACAGTTTCTGGCCCTTTTTCTTCACCCCCGTGACTGGGTTTGGTATTTTCATTTATCTCTGCCTTATTCGGGTTTGCCAATGTCGGGTACACCACTGTCACAAGGGAAGTTTTATCACGGTCTGGGGTGGGAGTTAAGGTCGTTGGAGGCGGCGTAGGTTCGGCCTTTGGTGTTGGTTTTGCCGGCGAAACTATATGAAATAAGTTAAGATTATCGTATAAGAATTCCGCTCAATTTCAATCTACCTAAACCCCTTGATATTATCATCGATTTTTAACATGATCCATCGAACGAAATACACGAAATTATATGTATAATTTATCCTAAGAATATTTCATAAACAACAATTTGAACTTTGTACTGTAGAGAATAAACTACTGTCTATATAGCACACATTTCGATAAATCTTGTAGTTAAATTATAGAGGGATTAATCAATGTTTATGCGACTTAAATGGTTTGTATTAAAATTGTTGGCAACAGTGCTTGTGCATGGGGTGCACTGCAGCACAGGATTGTGTGACTGATCCCTATTTTATTAAACTGCAAACATGCAATATAAGATATATGATAATATGAATTCGCGTGGTATGTCACTAAGCATAGCAACTCGCAATAATTCTCTATTAAATCAGAAAATATTTACAGTTAAATATTAACGTTGCCATCGTCGCTATTCAAAATCTCAACAATGTAACACAAAGAAGAACCCAGGGTGCCTTCTCGCCAGTAGCAACAAAATATACACAGAGATAACAACACACCATGAAATGATATTAAAACAAGCATCGTATCAAAGTATGGATGGCATTATTGATGCATATGATACCCATAATATGTTGGCAAAAAGCTTATATGTGTCAGTATAGGGTCACCGGTCAAACATTAGCGGAAATTTATATCACGACCTAGAATCTAGCTTATTACACAATTTACCACACAGTCTGATGCAACAAGTTCATCCTACGCACACAACAATCCTCTTCGTCTTTGAGAATACCACTACCGCGTTACCAAAATTAGGTTAAAATTTTGTGAAGCTATCTACAGTATACAATCTTTTCATGCATTATTAGAAACGTTTATTTAAAGTTTTATGACTTCACCTAGCTATAGGCTATAGCCTACAATTTAATTATGAACAAACAATAATGCTTCGATGAACATCATAGTCCTCGAATATTCAAAATGCATCGACAAATTATTTACATTTATACACTTTTTGGACATCTCAGCTCTCAAGTTAGCCTACTTTTATGACAAGACGTATTCAGGTTATTTGAATTTTGAAATATTCTATCACATATTCATACAACCATGCACGATATGGTAATATATATAGTAACAATATACTCTATGTGTAGACAGAGGTTAAGTGTGACGACAATCTTAGATACAAAAACGGTTATACTTACCACGGCACGAGTCAACACACCGTTTTTGGTCATTGATTGGTTCATTATAACAACTTTTCCAATGTGGCGGACACGGCGCGCACGTTCCTTTTGGATTTAAAAAGGATTCACTCCAATACTGTTTTCCCTTGACACAATCCTCGGCCTTCTCTCCGTGTGACGATCTCAGTAGCACAGTAATACCAAGAATTATCGAAAGAGCGAAGCTTCGCCCAAGCATTATGACATTGAGAATGGCATGAATATTATATTCGTGAGATCTAGCTATGAACGTGCATGGTTATATATATGAACGGAGTGAGAGGAATGTGCTGACTGCAGCAATGTTCGAAGAGTGACGTCACAGAGAAGAGTGACGTAACCATCGAAGAGTGACATCACCATGGGCTTCTTTAGCTAGGTTTTGGGCACAGTTAATATAGAAATATTAACTTGTACTTATTGTTTAAAATTTAAATTTCGAATTAGTCTGGAGATTTACTATAATTCGTAATTCGGGAAATCGAATTTGTCAGTCGCCTTTCGTTAAAAATTTTGCAATATATAGTGTTTTATTTTGCTTATACAAGCAACTTTAAACCGGATATACCATGTACGTAAGCAGACAGGCAACTTTTGTTAACCTAAAAACCTTCACCACAATTGCAGCGAAATAAACTAAATAACACGACCTATGAGTCATACAACACGCGTCATACTGAGGATCAGCATGAGTCATCCTTCGTCAGGGAGTTCGTACGAGTGACGAGTCATACAACAAGAATCATACTGACTGATTTATAGTGTAACTCAGCATACTGACTCTTCTGACGAAGGCCCAAAGGTCGAAACCTACATTTTATATAGGTAGTAGTTGTTTACTTGTTTTACACCACATTTGAAGTGAAGTTGTTTGAAGACGCTGGCACGCGTTGCTCCCAGTTATATTGGAATGTTATGACGTGGTCAAGTGCAGAGTATGTTATGAAGAAAGATTATTCGAACAAAAGGTTAATCTATTATATAGAACTGATGTCAAGGAAGATTCGGCTTTAAGAATTGAGAGGGTCTTGAAATAGGTGTATAGCGCTACTAATCGTATATGAAAAATCTCCGGATGCATGAGCAGATAATGTGGGATAATATCTATAGAATGACTATAGTCTATAGCACAGATGCCAAAGAAAATTCGCTTTGAGAGTTGAGAGGGAATTGAAATAAGTGTATAATTGTATTATTTGTATATGAACGGAATGAACAGATGTGGGGAAATATTTACATATTTTACTTGAAGTTTAAGTATAAACTATAGTCACTCGGGTTTGATGGAAGTCTGATAATCTAGAAAGATTATGGGGATTAATCCCATTATGTGCAAAGCTTGACAAAAATATCTGAACAGGAAATAACGATTTAACTAACGAAATTTCTTAGAAAAAATGCTGGCTGAACATTCTGATTACACCTAGACGCATCAATGTACACCGAACATCATGCATCTGTACTAAAAAAACACGATGACAACAACGTCAACGTCAAACGTCGTGTATATATATATATATATATATATATATATATATATATATATATATAATTATATATATATATATATACAATTTCTGGATGATAGGATTCTCTACATAATTAACAAATATTGAACGAGGTTGAACATGATAGACGAAGAATTATCAAGGAAGGTTGTCGTTATCAACCGAAGTAGATTTAGAGCTTGTTTTTCATTTTATTTTCTAGATAAGGGTGTTGACGTCATCGTCATACGTGGGATGCAACTGTCTCATCCACGTTATAACCTGCATGGGTATTCCGATAAAAAGGGCGTATTCTGCGTTTTGGCGTCACCTATTCTTTAATTGTGTTTCACACAATTGCACAATTGCACACACTTATGGCTATTAGGCATAAATAATGAATAATACTAATAACATATATCAGGCAACATTATTCGCATGTGATTGGCGAAACAGAGGGCATTTTACCTTGATTCAGGGCTACTTACATGGTAAAATAACTTAACGCTGACTAGAAGAATTTGCATTTGTTATAGAAGCAGGCTGCTCACCTAAAAAGCAGCTGAATGGCTGTCGTCGAAATAGCTGAAATATAATACCGGACATTCAAATTTTATCCCTTAAAGCGACGATAACGTAGGAAAACCTCGTATGTCAGGCAGCCTTTGACTGCCAGGAAACTACAAAGACGTGAAAAGTACGATACGAATATAAATTATAAACAAAATATTTTCGATGTTTCAATAACACACTGAATGAAGTCTGCAGCCCACCGAAAGGTGGTTAAATGCGGATAACTTTGTTTATATATTATTATTTACATGTAATGGCTTTTCGTAAAATTTTGGATTAATTGCAACAGTACTTTCAATTTTTGGCAATAAATTAAAAGCATTAAATTGATCCCAAATTTGACTCCGTTTTATACCATGCGATTATAGCAATTTCACTAATAATTCAGCAAGCTTTCTATACAATCAGCAGATAATTCATGGATGGACAATACTCTTATTTAACTATACTTTACGTTTTTAAAGAAAAAGAAAATCACCATTTAACATGCCGTAATACTATCATGCATGAAACTTAATTTAAATATTCAGTTCAATGATATATTATTTTTACATATAGTGAGAAAGAGAATTCATTTAGCTTTCTAATCTTTTTATGACATAATGGCTAAAAATAACCAAAACTCGCGTGTTTCTTGTGCGGTCAAAACCACATTTTGTACTGCGTGCAATTGAATAGACATCTCAATCTTTATTGGCACATGCATACACCCGCCAAATGCTGAAATTCAAATTTGCTTCGCTTTACCTTCAATCGAGCAAATTTGATTTCGTTCACTAATTCACTATACTATACTTTATATACTATAAGCTCACTAACTGTGCACTTCTGTTAAGTGCAAGGAGGATACACAGCTCTCTTTGTAATGTTCTTCTTGGATTCTTTATAGAAAAAAAGGAGAATTATAAAATTAATTCATTTCAGATTTAGTTCAAATTTATTTGAAACAGAAATTAGTTTTGGGATACATAATTATAGCTATTACTTCGATAGTCTTGTGATCTATCTTTTCCGACTAAATGGTTGTGAATGTCTAATGATTTTCGATATTTATCATCTGATATTTAGCAAATAAGTCACTCCGTTTACACTACACTCAATATATTGGAACAGAGTCAGAGCTGCTATAGATTGTATAAATTATATACTCTTGTGCCATACCTGCAGGCTACTACCTATACACACAGCCAGCAGTTATTGTCAAATGCATGTATATCTGTTCATGATTTAATAGCAAGCCATTCACTTGTTAAACAAGATTCCATATTGTCGCTCACAGCATAGCGCATTGTTAATACGTGCACAATGATTAGCGCGTGGGAAGCCTGGAGTTCCGTGTTGTTGAAAACACCACTGCATGTGCCTAGTGAAAAAGCTCAATATCCAATATTCTTTGTTACTCTAAATTTACAACTACAATTTCACACGGGATTTGGGCCACCCGCGAATATTGACCCCTTGGCCATTAACGGAAAGTAACTGCAATTCGCCTTTCAAGATCATGCCAAAATATCTTTCTTCGGAAACAATAATGTACACTTACCCTCCAATTTTTACTCTCGAAGGTGTTGCCTGGACAGGAAATCGCAGCGATTCCTCGCCAACAAATTCTTCAACATCTTGTCTCTGCCCCTCTGGCTCTGCCAAATTTTTTTGCGTCACCACTTCAAGGGGTATCCACTCATTTCCATTGTTTTCATTAGGCACTGGACGCCGATTCCTTCTGGTTTTTTTGTGAATTTTACGAACCAACAAAAAAATCGTGACAAAGGCGGCCAGAGCGAACACAACAGAAAGTGTTATTATAGCAGCAACAAACGCTAGATATGAATTATTCTCCTTGCGATGTACTGGGCTTGACAGGGGTATCTCGGGGAAGGTTGATGAAGGAATGTTATAGACAGCGGGAAATTTTACAACAGATGTAGACGAAATGTGCAGACCATTCGACGGTGATGAAATGAATTTTCGAAGTTCGGGAGATACATGCGACGATGCCAAGAGACTTCCAAGAGCAGCAGATGGCTTCAGAACTGAAAGATTGAGCGTTGTTGATAAAATCAACTCAAAATTCTCCGCTAACATAAGAATATTATATATAGCTATAACAAATAAATAAATTTGGAGTTCCTTGATTATTTTAGTAGGCTTTGATATGTTGAGAATGTACATTCGCACTAATATAATACAGAAAATCGATCTCTCACATTCAAACTTATTAACGCTTTGGATGGATGGCTTGGGTTGTGTGTGTTCCTTTCTCCTTTTAAACCGCCACCTATATATATAGGGTCCCATGCAAGGCCTAGGCACGCGTAGTGAGCTGGCAACGGGCAAATTTACATTGTTGGGTTTGAATATGCCCGTCAAGGGTAAGTATGGTAAATACAGAGAACATTTTTGTGTTATATATATGATTTTATTCACTACAAATTTGTTTCGGATAACAAGCAGTGCTTGCCACACAATAAACCAAGTTTATTGTATTTTATATCGTCTTATTAGCTCTATACTTTGATATATCGAGCACTCTACTCATATATGATTCTAAACACACATGCGATGCGCGAAAGGATGCGCGAAAGGATGCGCGAAAGGATGGCCGCACGGAGCAACATTCAACGTGCATCAATTCGCAACGCAAAAATGTTTCGTTTACGCGTCGAATACGGTGTATATATATATATATATACGAGCCATGCAGTTTGTACTAACACAGAAATCGTTTCGGAAACGCAAGTTGAAAGTTTATATGAACTGTTTTAATCCACTCAACATTGTCATTGCTGCATGTTCAAATTTTTGCTTATTGTTATATGCGTTTCGAGTTGACGTCGAAAGTTGTTCCGTGTAATATTATCTGAAAAACCAACTAGCATTGTCTATCTCTATATTTCTGCAATTCTCACACAATGCACAATGCCAATGGTAAAACAATCCAGCCATTGCATGTGTTACCATTCACATTATAACCTTTGTGGGAAAGCAGCATTTGTATTATCTCATAACTATAGTCAAAGTAATCTATATATATTCTCAATTATTCTTTGTCCATGCATGACATGCGATTAAGTTTTTTGTTGGAATGAGCATTAAAATAAAGGCCAAGGCCAAGGCCAAGGACAAGGCATGCACTCCCACGAGAGTCCGTTCCGGGAGATAAACGCTGAGTGAACGCTAAAAGATCTGTCATACGCTGCTATACCCTAAACAACTCCGAAATTATAGGTTTCTCCAGAAAACAGGAACACAATAAAAGTGCTTAATAAGCATCCAAATTCCAAAGCATTGTTTATGTCCGCGGGAAAACAAAATATATATTCGAAATTCAGTCCACGGCGTAAAGAATACGTTTAAAATCGGAGTAATATTTAATACAAACGGGGAATTTTTAGGCAAGATTACTATCATTTCGTTTGTAAATATGCTGAGGTGAAAACTTACTAACTATGAAAACTTACTAACTATAAATATATACTTCAATTTATACCGATAAATACTCACCACGACATGAATCGAAACAATTTCTCTTGTCTCTTTCTTGTTGATCGTCACAATGTTGCCAAAAACGCGGGCATGGTTCGCAGGAACCTGTGTCGCTCATAAACGTTCCCCAATATTCTTTTCCCTTCTCGCAATCCTCTGGCCCAGCTTGTGTCGATAGTTTTGGGTACACGACGGCAGCAAGAAATAGTAAAAAAATCACTTTTCTGTCAACCAGCATGACGGAGACCCAAAGTAAGAGCTCCTTACTCGTTGAGCATATCATTCAAAATGATAGAAAAAAAATACAATCGCTAGTTTAGTTGTTCGGATGACGTCATCCAAACAACGCATTGCGCTAACTCAGCACTAAATCGAAAGTATGTATTTCGAAACAATTTTTTAGGATGTCAGGTAGTGCGCACAAAAAAAAAGACCAAATCCTCGTTTCCTTATTTGGGAACATTATGAATACCTTCTTCAACGTTTTATCCGTTTTAAGAACAAAAAAACACCTTAACCCGCCCACATAGTAGGCATGACAAGGCATGTTACAATATTGCATAATACAATTTTCAGTTTTCCAAAGCCGCTAATTTTGACAATGTTGTGCATGACACTCCTGGTAATTACCGATTGACGGCAAATCAGTTTGACTGGTCTGGTACGCATATCTCTCAAAAGGCTATCTGTAAAACAAGGAACGGGGAATCGGGGAAAGGAATGAGGAAAGGAACGGGGAACGGTAAAACAAGGAATGAGAAAAGCCGGAATCTGTAAAACAAGGAATGAGAAAAGCCGGAATCTGTAAAACAAGGAATGAGAAAAGCCGGAATCTGTAAAACCAAGAATGAGAAAAGCCGGAATCTGTAAAACCAGGAATGAGAAAAGCCGGAATCTGTAAAACCAGGAATGAGAAAAGCCGGAATCTGTAAAACCAGGAATGGGAAAAGCCGGAATCTGTAAAACCAGGAATGAGAAAAGCCGGAATCTGTAAAACCAGGAATGGGAAAAGCCGGAATCTGTAAAACCTGGAATAAGAAAAGTTTGTAACTAAATTAGTTACAATTTCCGCGCGTAATACAAAATATGCTAATTTGACATGGCTATATTTTCCGTATTTTACCAAATTTCGCAGCCAAACTTAGCATTTCCACTAATTCAAGTACGCTTAATTCTTTTATCTGTTATATGGAACATAAACTGCATTCTTTTGTGGGCGAAGGAATATATAATACATATATAATTATACAAACGATGAAACGATCACAAGGACTGACAAGGTTAGTTTGCAAACAGTTAAATTTGTTGATTTGGTCTTATTCATAAACCTACAAAGTGGAGCTTTGTGCGTTGCTATCTACTGTTTAATATCTACATTGCTATTGAAATTGAATAATGTTTGGTTGGAAATGAAAACTTTTTGGATCCAAATTTAAATTTCCAAATTTTCATATGAATTGCATACTGCATGATATAAAATATGCAAGAACAACTTCATTAAATACACAATATATTTTCCTTTTTCTATATTCAGTTCATTGTATTTACAACTACCTAATATATCAGTATAAATCTATGCGAACAACAATTTTGCTCCATTTAATACATACATGTTAAGCTTATTTTGCAATATATATTTGTCATAGTTCATGGTAACAGCTTATCATTATTGAATCAGATTACCCCTGAACAATGCACTACACTTTTGTTGTCCCAAATATAATATAATTTTGCTTGTAAGTAAAATTGTATAGAAAATGAAAATATTTTAGTGCATTTTGTACCTTAATTAACTCAGATTATAATTAAACAGTTACCATTCTCACCCAAGGTTTTAATGACTGGAGGCTGATTAAAAATATACAATAATAATCTGTAAGTAACTAACAGTTGCAATTAATTAAAATCTTGGCTCTTTGAGAACAACTTTGTGTTGGGATGGAATTTTGGAATATATCCTATTGTTGTTTACATACTGTAGAGTAGATTTATATTTAGTAGCAGCAATAACAATATACTGGTAATATTCTAAAATTTAACAACATATCTCAATTCTTTTATCAGTTATATGGAACATAAACTGAATTATTTTGTGGAGGAAGGATTGAAGGAATATATAATACATATATCATTATGCAAACAACAATTAATTTTGCTGCACTTAATACATTATTTTGCACTATATAGTCATAGTTCATAGTAAAAGCTTTTCATATTGAATCATGCTAGCCTAGAAAACCACAGCTAGGTTTTCCCTACACAATTTCTAATGCATTTTTATTTGAATAAATTATTTGAAAAAGCTAGTAAATGCTGGTTGGAAATTATACTTTTCTAAACAAGACCTAGGGTATATTCCAAAATTCCATCCCAACACAAAGTTGTTCTCAAAGAGCCAAGATTTTAATTAATTGCAACTGTTAGTTACTTACAGATTATTATTGTATTATTTTTAATCAGCCTCCAGTCATTAAAACCTTGGGTGAGAATGGTAACTGTTTAATTATAATCTGAGTTAATTAAGGTACAAAATGCACTAAAATATTTTCATTTTCTATACAATTTTACTTACAAGCAAAATTATATTATATTTGGGACAACAAAAGTGTAGTGCATTGTTCAGGGGTAATCTGATTCAATAATGATAAGCTGTTACCATGAACTATGACAAATATATATTGCAAAATAAGCTTAACATGTATGTATTAAATGGAGCAAAATTGTTGTTTGCATAGATTTATACTGATATTAGGTAGTTGTAAATACAATGAACTGAATATAGAAAAAGGAAAATATATTGTGTATTTAATGAAGTTGTTCTTGCATTTTATATCATGCAGTATGCAATTCATATGAAAATTTGGAAATTTAAATTTGGATCCAAAAAGTTTTCATTTCCAACCAAACATTATTCAATTTCAATAGCAATGTAGATATTAAACGGTAGATAGCAACGCACAAAGCTCCACTTTGTAGGTTTATGAATAAGACCAAATCAACAAATTTAACTGTTTGCAAACTAACCTTGTCAGTCCTTGTGATCGTTTCATCGTTTGTATAATTATATATGTATTATATATTCCTTCGCCCACAAAAGAATGCAGTTTATGTTCCATATAACAGATAAAAGAATTAAGCGTACTTGAATTAGTGGAAATGCTAAGTTTGGCTGCGAAATTTGGTAAAATACGGAAAATATAGCCATGTCAAATTAGAATATTTTGTATTACGCGCCGAAATTGTAACTAATTTAGTTACAAACTTTTCCCATTCCAGGTTTTACAGATTCCGGCTTTTCCCATTCCTGGTTTTACAGATTCCGGCTTTTCTCATTCCTGGTTTTACAGATTCCGGCTTTTCCCATTCCTGGTTTTACAGATTCCGGCTTTTCTCATTCCTTGTTTTACAGATTCCGGCTTTTCTCATTCCTTGTTTTGCCGTTCCCCGTTCCTTTCCTCATTCCTTTCCCCGATTCCCCGTTCCTTGTTTTACAGATAGCCTCTCTCAAAATGTTCTTTCAGCATTGAAGTTATTTGTTTTGGAAAATAAAAAATTCGCGTCGCGTTAGCGAATCGCGTCGGATGTGTTTAGGCCTTAAAAGTACCAATTAAACGCAACCTCTATATACCTGGGGCCAGTTGTATAAAACTCTTTAACTACATCTTGAATAGTTATATCCTAGTTAACTAAAAAATACACGACTCTGATAGGCCAATTCTGTCCTTAACTACAGTTAACTAAAGTTAGAACAGAATTATTACGATTCCAATGCGCGCAATGTCTCATCAAAATTGGCACTGCTGGAGATCCTTGAAAACCTATTAAAATATTTTATAGTCCAAACAGGAAATAACAGCTTAAAAACAATGCCTGCCCCTGACGTGAAACGGGAAACTATGAGACAAAGCACTTACGAAAGAATAGATGAGTACATCTTGCCGTGACCCCTAATTAGTTTAAACAATTCGCAAATTCCTCACATACGTATATACGTTTTATATATATGTATATAGTTCCTCTTCTATCTTATATTAGAACTGTCATTTTAGTTTTTTTTAAAAATTTAAACTTTCATGCATTTATTTACACCGTGAATATAAGTGTACTTGTGATGTAAACATAGATTGACTGTTTACGTTAATCGGTATTATATATAGACTTGAATGGAACTATAATATATCATTACATAATTATAAAAAGTAGAGTTTGATGTTAAAATCATCAAGATTTGCTTGCAAACACGTAAATATGTAGCTATATATATAACTAAATAGTGAAACGATTGATCTCATCATGTGATCAGTTGGTGTTTAAAAATACAGAAATGTGAACATAATTTTAGTGTAGGAGTTGGTTTTATTTTCAGTGGGTGCGTGTAGTCCTCGCGCGACGTCGCGTTAGATAAATCTAATAATTTATCACAGTGTGATAAATTTAATGTCACACCCCTAGCTATGTGATACCGCGAAAAATCTCCTCGTCACATGGTACATATGTTTTTTGATTGGAAAATTTGAATTTGAGGTATAATACGAGTTAGATTTTTTTACCGTGAACAGCGCACTTCTTTAGTCATCGGGTCCCATCTGTGGCAATTTCAGAATTTCGGACGGAACCCGAATACTGCACATTTGAAGAGGCGTGCCATAGTCTACCCTTACGTGCGACATTCGCGTTCAACGTCCCATTAAGGGCATCCCATCCCGGTCACTATACCTTCGGGTAACATCAAGTACTGCAATCGGTAATGGTAAATTTCTTGAAATTGTGATCCAGAGCTTGATATAAGAAATCCAGCCAACATTTATCCTCGTCCAAGCAAAAATGCGACGACCTACAAAATTTCCCAAATTTTCACTCTAAACTTTTGCTTTCAGGGAAAGTGGCCTTCTCAACATCTCGTAGAGACTTTCGATTTGCAAAGAATTCTTTATTAATTATTACTCCGGCGTGAGCGACGGTTTTGTTGTGTTTTTTATTTATTTATTTATATTATGTAGACTTTTTCAATCATGTAGAAGATTAAGATTGTTTTGTATGACGACCCTCCAGGCTCTAATCTAAATATTTAAAATCGTGCTACCTGCAGAGTTGGATTATCTTTTCCAGTGTACCAACCAGTTCCAAGCCCTGCGAGTAAAAATATGAAGTTATGACTTATTTATGCAACGTTTCAAGTACAGTAAAGTATCAAATTGCAGAGTATTTAAACCTATGGCTATGAATCGAAAACTTGGTTTTATTAGAATAACAACAACAACCTGATAAAACAGGTCAAAACAAACAATATACAAAATTACCTCCTTTTGCACTTCAGTAAGAGATTCGGAATAAACACCACAGAAAAGATTGTCCACACTAAAACAGGGGACAAAGTAGTTCAAGCTGTTCAGCTCTGATACTGTGATAGCATTTGAAAGTTTCAATTATTAGTTAGAATTAGTTATCACACGTAATACAGTATAAAATTTAGACTTAGAGCCTATAAAAAATAGGGCCTGGCAACAATTCATGAACATAATTGAAAAGAGTTAAAAAATATCATTGCATGGGAATATCTAAGCACACAAAAAAGTAGAAAACATGCTATTACCTTGGACTAACAAGCTTAATTGTTTGAGCTATAGTATCCAATTCATTTATCTTGCAAACATCATCATTTTGAGCATTTTTACTGAAACATTTTGTAACCTTTTTCAATAAAGACTTGGCAACCTAAAGATACATTGTATATAAACTTATGAAAAGTGTATATAAGTACATAGACATTACACAATATTGTTTTTTAAGTACATATTTAAAATACCTAAATCATAGTTAACTATAAAAAATACATCATTCTGATTGGCCAATTTTTTGTCTGTATAGTTAAAGGTCAACTACCTTTTATACAACCAGCAATTTGCAAATCATTTTATCTTCATGACTTGAATACTTTTCACAATTTCCATTTAATGCCCTGATGGCTAAGGTGTGCACACATTTAAAGCCTGAATTTTGTGCTTTATACTGTAACAATTAAATCTCTCTGATTGGATATATCACATTCTAATACATTAAGTTACCTTAGCAATACCTATTGAAGCCAAAATAGGCTGCTCATTCAAATTGTCTAATGGCGACATATTTTCTGTTTCATTCTGTCTAACATCACAGTTACAATTCTCTTTCCACTCCTGTTGGTACTGTTTTTAAATTATAAAATTACATACAAGTATTTTAAAATGTTGGCCTAAGAAAAATTTTACACCAATAATTATTGTATTTTTTTGGTCAACCAAAATTTAAAAGAAAAAAAATCAAAATACAGTTATATACTAAATATAATACCTCTTCTAACTCAGCAATTGCATCGTTTATTAACCCAAAACAGGACTTTGTTTCCTTTAAGGCTAATTCCTTTATGTCTGTAAGGAAAGGGAATATATATTAAGCAATAATTATACCTATATTTACAAACAATTTTACCTTATAAACAAAAGTTTCCTGATATATGTAATGTAGAGCAATATTATATACATATAACATTCACAGGACTTGAAGTGAAAGTCAAGCCTGTATCCAAACAAATAATTTGTTTACATTTGAACTTCTATACTTTTTAAAATATGATGTGCAATCTGAATAGCTATAAAGGCTGATCTAAATTATGTGATTAGTTCTACACAAAGTCACAATTCTTATCCTGACATATATGAAAAATATTGCTGATGTCACTTTTCTACTCATCAGTTTATGTATGATATCTTTACATGCATTTATTCGAATACATTACTAACTCTCCTGATGAAGGCCCTCAGGTGAAAACATCGAGAAGTGCTTTGTCTATTTTAATTAAGCAGTTGTTATACCACATTTGATGCTAAGTTGTCTAGTATAAATTAGGTATAGTGTTCATGTTCAGAAACGTTTGAAGCATGTGAAATTTAGCAGAACCTATGCGCATAATGGACTTGAATCACTTGACTAGCTGACTTCCACTTTACATTAATGTATTCACCTTTTGGTATGGTGGTAAAGCATTCACAGCATTCCCATACAACTCCAACCGTTTTCAATATTTCATCTTTTCTACGAGACAATTAAAATTAACATTCCTTAATTTGTACATAATTCATTTTTGCCAAAACAGATTACTAATTGATGTCAATGTTATTCTTTATACTATGCCCATAGCTTGAAGAAAAGCACAGAACTACACATTACACAAAGATGTAAAAGGATGGCACTTAACATACTTGGCATGTCTTAATGATGATACAAAGTTTGCTAAAGTTTTGGTTAGGTCCATGACATAGGTTCTTAACACATTATGCAGCAGAGCTCCTAAAGAAAAGTTACATGTTAATTATGGCAGCGGCACACATACTTAGCTACTAGAGCATGTTTCATCTACATACATATTATGTTCATATGTTGCTATACGGCCTATACCATGGTTTAATTACATCAATGTTACATTACCTTCTCGTTGATCAAATGCTTTGTATGTTTCAAACACAGCAGTGACACCAATATTTAGTCCATTTGCCAGAGCAACAGTGTCCTAAATAGTGCTATTAGTATGAATATTTTCTACAATGCACTGATTTTACAATGATATGTACATGATTTTCTGCTTTTAAAAAACACTTGTCAAGCATTTATCATTGTCAAGTTTGTCAAAAAAACACGCATTGAATGCAAAATTGTTTCCCTTAATTTCCATTAATGTAGGTAGTTTATATGTTGAGATTCTTTATAAGGATTTTGAACGTCTGGCAACTTAGCAAAGGAAGAACACAATGAGACATTTTTGTGGCATATAATTTGGGCATGAAGCGCTGGAAAAAAGGTCTAGAGGCTCTAATTAACCTAAGTTTTTCCTAGAAGAACAGGAGGACCTCTAAGTTGCAGAGGGTGTGAGCCAGCTCTGTGCATGTTGTTCAGTGAGTTGAGTCCTGATTATCTAGGGACCACCATTAGTTATACTGAGACAGTAAGGGCACTCAAAACCCGACAGAGCATGCAAAAACTATAGGTTTTTCTAGAGGAACAGGTGGACCTCTAGATAACAGGGGAACAGACGGACTCCTGTTCAGGTCAGTCAGCTCGACTCAAATATTGCCTGACTGACCCATCGAGTCTCTAGGTCAGGTCATCAGGTCGCATTTTCGACCAAAATGACCTGTACACTTCACGCTTCACACTTTACATGGTAAGGTGTTGTCCAGAAGGAAAGCACTTCCTGCCATTGTTTAATCACAGCAATTCATTACAAGTTACAAGAAGAATATCGATAGACTATCTAGAGATAACATATGAATTAACATAACGTATCAGTATATTTACATGCGGATGCCACAGCGGCCGGTCCTTCGCTGTGGGGAGGTGGGTGGTGTTTATTTTTGTAGTTTTTGGTTATGATAGTTACTTTTGAAATGCAGACATATGTATTACTGCCTTTCGATAAAGACCTTTAAATGTTTGACCGGCCTTGTGGAAACATTGGCTGAGGTCTTGCGAATGACCAATGCATGCATGGGGAGCAGGCAAAATCCTTGCAGAAAAAGGGGGCCATTGTTCAAATGCTATGATGCCAGAGTTCGTTCAGATTTTGGACTTTATAATAACTATTAACATGGCTGGTAAAGGCTGCCTTGTTCTATTGAGGCCTTGACCTTGCCCGGGCTAAAATTAGTGCATGCGATAACTATGACAGCTAGACCAGAGATGGTCTGACATATGTAGGATGAAATAGGACCTTCTAGAACATATTACTCCATTAACCGCAAATTAATAACTTGCGTGTAACCTTTTTATTGTGTACAAATTTCAAAACATGATTGCCAAGCAGTTTGAAACTGATTTGGAGTAATGTAGACATCCAATTTCTATAGATCCTTACTACACCTTACCTTATGGGAAGGTAATGGTGGTTTGGTAAAGGCCAGGGAAAGTTTTGTGCACTCTTTGGACACTGCTTGTATACAATTACCTAAAAATGTTGTATTGAAATTTAATTGACAAGTTGTAACTTACACTCAATTCAATTAGGAAAGGTTATATATAACAGATTATTACACACGATTTCTATCGGGGGAACATATATATTAAATTTGGACAGTTTACATTGCAACATTCACATAATATAGACTAAAAATAAGTTATATGTAAGGGCCTGTTCATATGAGACGGGCCAGCCCGGTTTAGCCGGGCTAGCACGGCAGTGGCGGGATCTCGCCTCACATATTATTTTACTTTATTTGTAAAATTGCATTCATATGGAACCAGGCCAGCCCGGCTTTGGCGAGATCTCGCCTGAACAAAGCGAGATCTCGCCTTTAACGGGCTCATATGAAAACAGCAAAAGCGAGCTAGCCCGGCTCAACCGGGCTGGCCCGGCTCATATGAACAGGCCCTAAAGAATGTTGTGAGTAACGAGTAATGACTCAGCTAGGCAGGAAATATAATCAAAAGTAAATCCATCACAATTTTTGTTCTGCACTCTGGTTAGTCAGTCTGGTTTGTTTATTGCGACTCTGGTTTGAATGAATAAAAGTAATCACCACACAAATTATAGACTATAATCATCTCGGTAATTGTTCATTATTTTAAGCAATTGATGACTGTCTGTATTGTTAAATAAAATGTGGACTTTTTAACTGTATATAAATATAACAGTTAACACTCATATCTACCGTTCTTACCCAGTGTATTCCAGTAAGCTGTACGGCAATGTAATTTGGCACTTTCCAACTTGATGGAAAGAGTTGCCTCCTCTGAAAATACAATAAGGCAAAATGTATATTATAAAATTTACCACAGAATACAACACGGTACAGGACGAACAGGACATTGATGATCAAAACATAATCTCTTCTCTTACCTTTCAGTTTATGCAACAAAACATGGAGACTTTCTTCTAGAGATTTAAAGGGATTATCATCAACAATTTGCAAAGTAGAAACATCCAAATTCGCAGCAGCCATACTTCTATCACAGCAACACGTGTGTCAAACCGCCGTCAGGCCTGTGGTCAGGCGGTCAGGGGAAGGCACGAACCTTACTCGTACCCAGCAGCTGCAATTATAACTGTAGGAGCGATTATTGAAAATTGTAGTCAGTACTGGCTGAGTCAATCCGAATTTTTACGTGGACAAAGTAGGCGTAAATTCGTACTTAACATTTATACTTTTTTTTATATTTTCAAAATGGCGGCCAGTCCTGGCCACTGGTCCTGGCCAGGACGAATGACTAGAGGTCAGTGGTGCCAGCAGTGCTGGATTACCACCAGGGGTTCCACAAGGGAGAATTATGTGTCCAGAAGCTAAGTAAACAGATATGGATTTCGAATTGGTTGATAAAACACCATAATCGCACATTTGTTATCATCGCTTTTCACAAGCACGGATTCGTCAATAAAACACTGCATAGTTTTTAAAATTAGACTAATTATTAGAATAATTATTATTAATAATGATAATCAATTAACATTAATTAGACTAATTAATTTTACCCAAAAAGGAAGATATTAACGAGGCAGTAAATATATATCCTATGCTAGACCCACATATTATATAATAAACTACGATTGGTAAATATAATCAAAAACAAAAAACTGATAAGTATATAATCACTTAACGGTACAAATAATCACATACAGTACAAATTGCCAGATATATATTGATACTGATTTCAGCAAAATTGTCCAATTTTTAACAGAATTCAAGAAAAACTTGCCTAACTAGGCTAACACCTAAATAAAATTTTTCTTTGGGGAAATTGTCCCAACAACTCCCCCTACCCTGTATGCCTGTAACGTTAAAGTGAAAATTCTACACTGATTAATTATAAGATACCAAAACCTATACTATAGTCATGATCATGTTTACAGAAATTCAAATCACTTTATCCTTAGATACTACAGAATATTATTTTTACATTTGTTTCTAATATCATCATATCATTTCAACAAAATTCGTGTGGCAACGTTGCGGGGATAAACTACTTTGAAGTGAAGATCTTTAATACGATGAATTAAGAGGCGAAAAACTTTGCAGAATATACCGTTATCCGAAAATATTTAACGGCATATTGTTTTTTTAAGTGAATATTTAAGTGCATCTACATTTATTTTCTGAATCAGCTAATATAACATCAAAACAAGGACGGACTTTCAGGGGAGGTGAACACAAATACCGAAAATAATTTAGAGTTTGAATTCTCTGAAACTCACTCATGCATGCATAATCAAATGCATTTTGGACCTTCATGCACTGATAGTGAACCGGGAGGCGTAATCCAGAATTCTCTAGCCTCGGTTCAACCGAGGAAGAAATTCTTCATCTCCGATCAAAAACTGTCCACTGATGCATCGAAAGTCGAAACAAATGACTAATGCTAACTTCACGGATAATAACTTTGAAGTGAAAATCTTACGATGAAAAGGGTAAAAATCATTCCCAGCTGTTAACTTTCGCAGATTAAATAAAGGTTATTCCGAATAGAATCATTGTTCAGATCATCATGGCGGGCATGCAAGGAAATTAAACAGAATGAAACTATAGATTTGTTCAGTCTGACGCCTGGACCATCGATAAATCTTTTCGGAATAATCCTTATCTTATAAAAAGGCAGCGTTTGCAGAAGTTCAGATCAAATGGTTATTATCCGTGAATATAGACGGAGGGCTGATTTCTTGTAGTGCATGCACTTTTCGTCTAAATCTTAAATCCTAAGTCTTGGCCAATTTCAGAGTGATCGCAGTTTTCTGAATGACCTTATTATTGGCGTGCGCACCTCAGGACCAAATGAAAATCCATCCATGCATTTATTATGGCTTATAAACCCTGAGTTATAAACTCTTTGGTGGGCCCTTGATGGCCCGATAAAATTGTTTGGCATCCAGTAAATGCCACCTGCAAAATAAAATAGCTAAAGTTGAAAACTCAGAATATTATCTGGTGTATTCACTTTTCCACGCAGAGCTGGAAATTATTTTAATTAGCTATAAAAATTCAGTCATGCGAAATGTAATTGACACACTACCTCCAAAGACGTGCAACGATGGTTTCGATAAAATTGGACGTCCAGACACACGCCACAGCCATCACAGTGGACCAAACGATGTTTTTCCACTCTGGAATTGACAGGTATATTTGTTGATTTAAAAGTGTACAAGAACAGTGAAAAACGTTACGAATCGCTACAGGTTAAGGAGAATCATTTCTTAAAACTTTCCCGAGAGGTAGACTAAGAAGAAAACTAGGAGAGAAAAAATTTGCACCGTGAAAAATAGCTCTACTAGAAAAAAAGCTTGTAAAATAAAAAAAAACTCTCCTGCAAATTATACCGCAAGTAAAAACAAATCTGTACCTGCAAATTCCACATTTCTCGCAGTGAAAAGGATCGTTATCGTTGCCAGTTACGTGTTTACACAAACCACAAAAGTAATCGGAAAATTTCTTCCCACATTGGCAGCAAAATTCACCGAACTAGACGCAAAAAAATTATATTGGGTATAATGAGCTATCGTTTCATTTTTCATATAACTTTATAAATGTAAATAATTGAACACCCGAGAAAACAATGTAATAAATATCGAGTATTCGGCGAGTATCAGTATTTGGTTACCTGTTGCTTTTTGTGGCAATGAAGACACTTTATCATATGCACGTCATGTGATTTGAGGTTCTTCCTCCCACAAGTGCTTTCGTTGTTATGGCAACGATGGCAAGGCCAAAACTGGTCGCAGCATTCAAATTTCACGAAGCAATGTCGCTTGTAATGAACGCATGAGCTCCTCCTCCCCTGGTTTGGAGCTTGCAAATTCCGAGAAGTGCTGGGAGAACAGGGACTGGAAACAATCCTCGGGCGATGGAGCTTAGAATGTTTCTGAGCGTTGCCACCAACAGTCGATGATTGGCTCGTTCTGGTTGACCGTTTGATGTTGGTTGTCTGAGTTGTTGTCTTGACTGTTTTTTAACAACAGAAACAGGGTTAATGCTCATATTTCACAAGATTGATATCACACAAACGTCACCATATATTATCAAAAGATATCTTTTATTTCGCATTCGGGGCGGGGAATTTAGGAACCAAATGCATACAATTTTCGTTTTAGCGGGTTCGTAATAAAAACCCGATTAGCGATTTTATTAAGAGCAGATTTTAAAAGAGCAGAAAGGTTATTTTTCATCTCTACATCATACATGCCTATTTCTATCCACATACGTAAACGCATAACGCAACCACTCACTTACATTAATCAAGAGAAAAAATCGCATTTTAGAAACAAAAAGAATATAGCTATATAGACCTTGCATAGTCTATAAAATTTCAAAGGAATACTTACTTAAAGGTGTAACTCCTTGAAAGGGGTGTCCTGTTGCAGGAGGGTTTAGGTCTTGTTGAACACGAGCAGTGGACTGACTTTCATTAGGAGTTCGGGAAAATACCACTTCGTTGTTGTTTTGTGCTTTTCCTAATGTTCCCCGATTTCTAAGTGGGGTGCTGCTGAGGAATCCTCTAGAGCATGAATCGCGGTTATAGGGAGATATTTGGCCTCTTGAAAGATTTTGAAGCAAACTGTAATCACCACAGAGGAACTCATCGATAATATGCACGAGATCAAGTCTGATAATTGATTCGAAAAATCCACGAAGCTGGCTCAAATCTTCAGCATTGATAGCGCCTTTTTCATCGAGTTTAGAGAAAACTTCGGTTGCATTTTGCGCGTTCTCGATCGAGAATTTCTCACTTGCCCAGTTCTTCAGCTCTTCGACATCTGGGGATAGAAACATTTGAGAAAGAATGCGCAACAGAAGCTTGTAGTTGTTATACAGCGTCCTGGCCACTGATGATTGTGGTTTGCAAGCAAGAGATATGAACTCCTTTCTTTTGGCATTGCCTTGCTGGATCGGGAAAGAAACATCTGCATAACCTTGGGAAGCCAAGGTTTCGTCATATGTTTCATCTCTGGACGAAGATGGCAGTGGATCATCAGTGTTTCGTCCAGATTTACTTTTCTTTCCACTTTCTTTCTCTTTTCTTTGGCTACCCCCGATTTGCATCATTTTATTTTGCCTGAAAAAAAGATTTCCTTTATGCAGTGGTTGCCTGAAAAAAAGATTTCCTTTATGCAGTGGCGGATTTAGGGTAGCTAAGTCAGAATAAATTGCACGGACTATATAGTTTTGAATGAAAAATACCTATAATAACAACCACATTAGTTATTTACTTCTAAAGAGTACTTTTACATAAAAATATTGCAATATGATTGCAAGTTAGAGCTGTGCCTGTGGTAATTTATTCTGACTTACCCAGGATCCGTCCCTGTTCCTTCATGTGCAGCAGAAACCATCCAATTCATTTCGTTTCTGCCATCAAGACTACTTTGACGGTCATTCAGGTAGCCATCGCCGTCTTTACTTGAGTTTCCACTGCCTGGACGATGGTTGAACTCATTCGACGAGGAAGGAAAAATTTGATGGAAAATTTCAGAGCTTCTTTCTTCCTTTTTTTTCCTTTGTTGATTGAATACCATTTCACCAAGATCACCAAGAAGGGCTTCCTTTTCAACTTCTAAATTTCTTACTCGATTTTCTCGGTCAAAAATCGTTTCAGTTTCGTCATCTTTCGGATTCGAAAATTGTTCTGGAGGATGGCGAATGACAGAATTCCTTCTTGTTTGTTCCTCCGTTGAGTCCACATGTGAAGAAGCTACAGAGTTACTATCAAGCTGTGGACTTGATGAGGAAAAGGTCTCGAGCTCCTGATCAGAATCCGATGAGGAGTCGGACTGATCATGATGTCGTTGTTTCGCTTTCTTTGAAGGGCACATGCTCTTCGACCGATTCCAAATTTGTAGAAAGATCTGGCGATCACTTCACCTAGATAATTGCATTATATGTAGGTTGAGTCTGCATATTACGTACTTTTTAGCAGCGGCAGCGCAATGAACAAACAATGATTTTTCATCAGGCTGGAAATTTGTTTGATTTCTTTGATGTGTCAAAATTAGATCTCGGACGAGAAATCTTGGCTCAGTAAAGCGAAGCTAAAACATGTAGCATCTCCATGCAAACAACGTGCAATCTCGCTTTTGTTTCGTCGTATAAAACGGTTTCCTTTATAATTCTCTGATTTCAGTTCAACTTGGCCTAGCAGTTTATTTGCTCTTAAAATTAGCATAAAAGGAATTTCTCGTGATAAATCCTTTGTTTTTCAACCTAAAATTACACTCAACTGAAAACTTGATTTTGTTAACATTTTCAAATTTTAAAAATAATATAAATACGTATCAAACATCGCTTGAAACAATAAAAAATTACCACAAAATGCTAGTAAATAATCTAATCAGTAGCGAACTTGGATATATATTTCTACACTTCTACATAGTTTTTAGCCAATATAGCCACCCACGTAAAATGTATTTGACAATGCGATAATTATTTTACTCAAAACAAGGACTACTAAAAATCGTAATTTTTATGTCAATATAGACAAGATCCAATAATTCGCTAAGCAAACGTGATCATTGGAAAAATCTCAAGGCAATCCGACTCGTCCTTCAAACGTCTCTGCAGCTGAGATGTCTCTACTCTTCAAACTGTCAAGTATTGCGCGCTTCCAACGATTTGTTTGACCCGTTTAATGTATGCTATTCAGTAAATGGGGTCAAGGAAATGCGATCTAAATTCTCGCAGTTAAACTTGAGAATTTGCCCACGAACTTGCCCATGCGTGCTTGAGATGCATGACATGCGTACCGTAAATCTGGAAAAACCTGTTGTTTTGTAGTGTTACGACAAAAATCGCTAATATAGTTTTATATAGTCGACACATCCCTTTTGTTTGTCGATTTCTAAAATCATTCTCTCCTAGGCCTGCAGGTATTTTTTCGGTTACTACGCAACCAGGATACGTCTTGCTGTGCAACTATAACATACGCAGCAATAAACAGAAATTTGCTTAGGTAGGAGATTTCAATGAAATCGAAAGTTAAACCAACGATTACAATTTGCATGAGACATATGTCGGATATGCCTCATAGAACTAACGTACATATAGCTACCATAAAGACATGATATCTTCATATTTTAGCGATGAAAAGTGTTGCTTTTATATTATATAAACATTGTCAAATTCTTCACCGAAATAAAGAATATTATGTGCTCAAGTCATAAGATGAATAAAATATAACACTCAGACGTAAAAACGATCCACGCAGTTTCGCGACAGAGAACTAGAAATTCAGTATATAATCTGCGTATATAATGCGTTACCAGAAGGCAACAAATTACAAAGATTTTGCAAAATTTCGTGCATATTTACAAGAAATGAAACGAAGCGTTTAATATATCAAGTTGCAAATGCTATAAACAGAAACGTATATATATACACTCTCTGTTTGATCGAATGTCTCTTCGGTAATACGTTCTGCTCTATTATGATACATCCGATGGGAAATTACTCTGTTTCTTTAATTCTCCGCTGGATGTTTCGTTTTTATATAAAAGGCCAACGCAATTACGAATGACGAAACCGGCTAAAATTATGCGAATAAAGCGAATTATATGATTACAAACACCAGTCTTTGAGCTGCATGTTGGCCCCTTTTATACCACAGTATAGACTAGCTCTTACCTTTAGGGTATGTAGTTGAACACCAATAAATTCTGAGAAAGAATCCATGTTGGACTGCGTGAGACGTTTACCAAAGTGACTACGCCATTGAATGACCCATGAATTACTAAGACCAGAGTGCATGTCGGGTATTAGCAAACTCTATGGACTATGGGGTGCCCGTGGGAGGAAAATTTTGAAGGGCCAAACTCTAGTTTCCGCAGGTTTGCGATGTGTCGTATTTACTCGTATATCCTCGAAAAGCCCGGTTTTCCTTATGACATTATAGCAAACTAAACTAAACTTTATTTATTTTTGCATGTGTTATGCAATATCACATTGAATGTACTTTCCCATAAGGCGTGGCGTCGTATACAATGCCAAACACGAGATCTTATCTGAAACTTTTTAAGAAAACACAATGCACAACTATATGCATAATTACCGGCAAGGATTATACCAACATATTATAAATATGACATTGCACCGATAGAGACCCATATATGGTAACGTTGCTGTGAAAAATGCCCAAATATGGTCAAAAACTGGTAAACGAAGTCACTAATTTTTCCCTCACTGTAAAATAATGTTCATAATGTGAATAATAAGACACATGCTAAAGCGTATTAAATAATCATGGTTTGACTTAAAATCATATACGTATGCACATGAAAGAGTACAATCTGTGGTTTGAAACATGCATGTCAAGCATATCTTCTAAAACCAGGATCGTGATTGCGTGCAAAAGTGTCAATAACGCGATTCAGGACACTTCACTTAATAAGAATCACGAGGAGCTTCAAATAACCGTAAATTTAAAAGCGTTGATCAATCAAACAACAAACAACTAGCGCGAGCCGAGCACATGTCGATATGTGTCGACTGTTAGCGAGCGTGACGTATGCAATTAAAAATGGCATCCGTTGACTACACGGCCACGGCTATTCTGTGGCCCAAAATTGTCTACGAGTTCGCCTAAAAAAGCTCTGCATTTAACGCGTCGTTACGCGTCGTAGGAATCAGCTGAAGCCCTGGTCGGGCACAGTGATATTATGATCGCCAGGAACGCAACAGCAAGCATACTATACTATACGCTAACTCGGTACAGAAAACGTTAGATAAGGGGTGGAATTAGACCACCAAGATTTTGCAATGCTTACGCCATCTTAAAAATTTGACTAGGAGTTATAATCGTTATCCATTGTTTGAAAAACCTAAAACCGAATATAGCGTGCGGTCCATTGGGATTGCACCTTGGTGTACAAACAGTTCAACCATAAAAATCTTTTTAGATGCCAAAGTTTTTCCTTAACAGATCGGTTAGACTTTGTGAACAATGCATGCGCATCACTTTGTGAGCGGTATTCACTGATCGTTTCAATAAAAAGCTTCATGGAATGACACGAAATTCGATTCCTTGACCAAACACTTGCAGAAAGGCATATGTACAAGCTGATATAATAGCGAGGAACATTTAATGCATATAATTGCTACCATAAGGCAGCTTATTCATTTATTTATTATTGAGTTGAAATTACATTATTGCATATAATCGTGAATCTAATATTAATCATACAATAACATTTAAAATATTCCAGACTTGGTTTAGAATAAGGTGGCCTTATTCTAAAACTCTATTCTAAATTCTAAATTCTATGGTGTAATGACATCATATATCTCTAATAAGTTGTGTCTATAGTTATAGCCCACTGGGCTATAACTATACTATAGACACAACTTATTTGATATTTATTATAAGTTACATTACGTATTATAAACAAGAGTAAAATACCCAAAATGATGAACTGGATACACTCGATATAGCAACTAAATCTAACAGAAGCGAAGGCCAATTGACTTATTTTGTAGTCCTGAACAGCAGAACTCAAGATTGATTTAGAACCTGATGCAAACTATGAAACTAACCACCATGACACATGCATGCATGGTTATCAGAAAGACCCTTGCTAATTACTTTTATTTGGAGCTACGAAAGTTTAACAATTGCAATATCAAATGTATCATCATGCATCGATTACATGCCCTAGTGCACTGCACTAAGTTTCGATCGGTGTTTTTAAATTGGTGAAGTGACTTAGGCCTATTTCAAGTGTTGCACCATGACCACCAAACGTATTAAAAATGATTAGTAATCAGTCGAGATGCCTTATAAATCCACATACATAGTTGTTGATGTGTAGGCACATTTGAAACAGCCTGTAATAAACTTGCCCAAATGTTTTGATTAGATTATCCTCGAACATATTTTAGTTATCATACTGATTTATACTCAGTATTTATATACTCAACGAATTGAAGTTAATGAGTTCAAGGCAACCAGGTTTTACTAATAAATGAAAGTAATCACCACACAAAGATTAACTTTCACGACCAAGTTAATCTTTGTGTGGTGATTACTTTCAAAACCAGAGTAGCGATAATTACGATTGATATTTATATACTGTCATATATTGTGAATTCTCAACAAAATTTGTATCGATTGCCTAAATATGGATTGACTATGCCATCCACCAGGCATTTTTTAAGAAAATTTTTAACTTTTGTATACCGGCGAATGAAATTTCCTCCAAAAATACGTTCATGTATTTATATACTGAACTTATTCAGAATAGTTGGAAACTGTGTGAGTGTTACTACACGGAACCAATTAGTTGTGCATGAGATTGCTTTTCACGATGTTATATCATTTGTACTAATTGGTTGATAAACTTCGTGTAGATGTGTATATGTATAAGATTTGTGTATATGTTGGTGTATATAATTGAATATCCGTGTTATCTATAGTGCACATAGATATTATGATGTATATATTACTGAATTCTTTCAATTTTGGTTTATATTCTCAACTTTACATTGATAAATTCTAAGCCAAACGTTTGCATATATCATATATATGATATATATTTAGCTCAGGAAATAAATCGTTTCGAAAATAGTGTAAATGAATACATTGAATAATAATTGCAGACGTGCAGATAAAATATTAAAAAACCCAATGATAATCGATATCTTTTGAATGTTTCAAATGAAAGAAATCTTAAAACGGTAACTTCTTAGGTATACGTAAACGTAAATTAGATATAATTAGTTGCTTTTTTGATATATTCGAAACTTTATTAGCTTAGCTCATGAAAAAACGTGATTTTGTTCGTTAACGAAACTTTGGGCGCTGTTACACTATGAATTTCTCCCTGCAACTTGCAATGCAATTATGATTTTGAGGGATGTTAATTTTTAACTAGTGTTCGAAATTCTAAGAAAACGTTAGCAGATCGTACGAAATGTTCTTATTTGACAACTTGAGATGCCTCAGGAGTAGAATTCCATTGTAAGTTGCAAGGGAAGTTGCATAGTGTAACACCGCTTTTACCAAATTTTTGAACACCAAGACCTTAGTCGAGGTATGAAAATCATTTTGCTGGAAAACAGCTAAGCCTGATAAAGCTGACAAGTGCCGGAGATTTGGCTATATATAGGTACAGGAAAAATGTAAAAGAAGTTTAAATATAGTTTTTGGAATTCTTTCATGAACCAAAACACAAAAGCATTCTCTTAATGCCCCGAAAAGAATAAAACAATAAAGGAAGATTGGAAAGATGAAGTGGTTACCATCATTCATATATGAATCTATAAATAAAAGAGACATGCGTGTTAATCACGTGTGATAAATATAGCTATATGTATATATGGATTGATCACCAAGACTTAATATATTAATTGACTGTTACTAATTTAATTAATTTGATTGTTACTAATTAATACTGTTAAGGATAATACAGGTGGCAAATCTATGTAATGAGATTTCTGACTGCGAATGCAAAAAGAACTAATCTTGCGATTGGAGCCATGCATATACCGAGATAGCTATGTTTCGCTTGGTGTACATCTGCAACTACGAACTAGTGTTGTAAACTTAAAGGTAGTCTAAATCACTAAAAAACGACAATTTAAAAACAGTTTAGTAATTTCTTGATCTGAGATCCTTGGTCAGTAGTTATATATGGTATGTGAATTTATATTGGTTGGTTCACCTAGTTTCATATTTAATATGACAAATTCTTAACAAAATGGAAATAAAATTAAGTGAAATTCTCTTCCGAAAAAAAAACGAATTAACAGCATCAAAAAAGGCACTTACTGCAACTTCGTGAATACGTCACCTACGCGGTAGAGGAAATTTGTGACATTTCACGCAGATACATTGCATGAATTGAAAGAGAAATCCAAAACCTGATGACATAATCATGCAACTGCAGTTATTTTCCAGTATGTTTTTTCATCGTTGTTGGTCGTCGTTCAAGTTTGTGGGCAAAGCTTTCCCGACAGATGGGACATCGCGTACTGTAATAAGAAAGAAAGAAATTGGACGATTTAGTTCCAGACCATCGAGATGAGGCAAAAATATTCATGTCACTTTGCATGCATGGTGACATTAAATTGTAAGTAAATTAGCTTGTAGGTACACCACATATTTTGAGCTTGCAAGCAAATTGACCCATTTCAGTTGTTGTGGCCATGGAATAGCGAATAAAAGTTAACCATTTCAAACGACTTGAAATGAAATGCTAGATATTCAAAGGGTCTAAATTTCGAGTGGAATTATATACACCTCAAATTCAAGCCAGGAACAGTTGATGAAAAAATGAGTTAGTAATTTGCATACAAGCTGAAAACGGCACAGGATATGATTTCATGCATTCGGAACTGTCACATGCATCGGAAGAATCTCAGATTGACTTCTTTTCGGTAAGCTGGACCCTATGGACGTGCCTTAGGTTTAATAATAATTAGAAATACTCACATTCCACTTCTAATCATTTGGGTTGCGCATTCCTTGTGTACCTTATGAGAACACGGGAGTATTTGACATCCAGTAAATGCATCCTGCAAAAAAAAATTCAAGAATTAAAAACCCTGCTATACGGCTTGGTTGCATACATATATACTTGTGTGGATAAGTGCATGGATAGGTACAGTTAAGACATTCCAAGCGATACATTACCTCCAAACAGATGCAACACTCGTCATGAGCAGATCCTTCACGGCATTTATGGTTTCCTTGAAGTTGGACATCCAGACACACACCACATACGTCGCAATGGAATGAACGATCCCCGTGAATTCTGAAATGGAGAACACGAGTTTTAATTTCGGTTATGACCGCTAACAACTTCAGACTTACCTTATATAATGTTCCATAGCGTATTCTTCTGTTTCAAAGTTAATATAATAACCCGCATGCTTGGGAATGAAAGTAATACCCTGCGACTCTTTATGACTTGGAAAACAGGCATGAACCGTATCTTTTCTCCACCCCAGCACATCCCAATGCGAATGGCTGTGGTAAAATGTTGGCGGGTGGGCTTTGCATAAGAATAGATGGGAGACATATTTAAATCAATCTGGACAACAAGAGCACGACGATAAACAGCTTTTTAAATCAAAGCTGAAAAAAGCGTTCCCTAATCTTTGATTTTAGAGCAATTTAGATCGTCCTCGCTGTTCAAAGGGCCAGGACAACGACTCTATGCATTGACCGTAAAATGTTAACTGGCTGAGAAAGCCTCACCTGCAAATTCCACATTTCTCGCAATGATAAGGAAAGTCATCGTGGCCAGTCAGATGTTTACACAAACCGCAAAAGTAATTGGAGAATTTTGCTCCACAATCGCAACAGAACTGGCCAAACTAAGCACAAAAATGGATGCAATTAACAGAAATCTCACGCAACAGCTTTAAATATAGAGAATTATGAGGTTACCTGTTGTTCTTTGTTACAATAAACACACTTTAGCATTTTCGTGTCACGTGATTTAAGTTTCTTTCTGCCACACGCGCTTTGGTTGTTATGGCAACGATGGCATGGCCAAAACTTGTCGCAGCATTCAAATTTCACGAAGCAATGGCGTTTGTAATGGCTGCATAACCAGTTATCATCCTGCACGTTAAAAACCTCTCGGTTGCCAGAATTGCTGGGTGCACGAGAATTCGAGACAATGCTTGGACGTTGGAACTTAGAGTGTTTTAAACCATTGCTGCTGGTAAACAGGGTATTTCTCGTTACTCGACTCGTTCTTGTTGACACATTGGCTGCCATTGTTCTTCTCTCCTCTGTTTTTCAACAATGGAAATATGATATTCAATAAAAAAAACACTGGGACTACTCGAAACAGCGCTGTATAAATTATGTATATCCGCTCGAATAAGAGCTTGAAAATTAAAGATGTTCCCTCTGATGAATTTTCAATATTCTCGTTATTTTATAAACAAGTAAATATCTGAATATTCTGAATACACATCCAGGAGTTAAAACGTAACTCCTTTAGACAATCAAAACTTACCTAAAACTGTAGATCCATTAGGTACAACCATTTTATTGATGTTTGCAGTGGGAAGTCCCGTTGGTGTAGGCGTAAGATCTTGTTGAACACGAGCTGTGGACTGATTTTCGTTCGGAGTTCTTGAAAATAGTTTTCCAGGATTGGAAGGGTTTGGAAGTACAGAGAAACTTGAGGATGCAGCTTCTTGTATTTGATGAGCGCCGGAGCTCGGGGGTTCGTTGTTGTTTTGTGGTTTTCCTGACGTTGCAGGATTTCTGACTGTTTCGCCACTGGCAGTTGAACTGACTGAAGATCGTCTGGAGGAAGATGCACTTGCGTGATCATTCCACGAAATTCGGCCAAGTTGGGAGTTTCTGATTCTACCAGCTTTTTTGCGTTTTTTTGATTTTGGAATCGCGCGAAGCAAACTGTAATCACCCAGGAGGAACGCTTCAGCAATATGTACAAGATCGTATCTCAGGATTGACTTAAAGAAACCACACAGTTCATTTAAATCTTCGGCATTGATAGCTCCTTTTTCATCAAGTTGAAAGAGAACGTCGGTGGCATTTTGTGTGTTGTCGATCGAAAATTTCTCTGTTGTCCAGCTCTTCAAATTTTCAACATCGGAGGAAAGAAGGTTGTCGGCAAGGGTGATCAACAGCAGCTTGTAGTTGGTGTGCAACGTTAAGGCCACTGATGTTTGTGGTTTACTAGCAAGAGATATGAACTCCTTCCCATTTGCATCATCTTGTTGGACCGAGAATGAAACACCTTCACTGCTTTGGCCGACTGATCTTTGGTCATCTACTTCATCTCTCGACGTTGATGCCAGTGGATCAGCTAAACTTCCAGCTTCACCACCCTTTCCACTTGCTTTTTCTTTATGCAAAATAACCGATGTATTATTGGTCTTGATCGAATGATTTTTATCTTTTGAAGTAGTTGAAAGATCAGTATTCATATTACATTCACCTTTTTCAGATTTGATACCCTCTCCGCCAGTTGCCTTTTCATCTGGATTAATACTTACGTTCTGTATTGCTGAACTATGATTTTTTTTTAAATAACTTTCGTCTTTGACCTCGGCAAAACTTTTTTTCTCCTCTCCGGTTTCCAGCTTAAAAGGGCTGTTTTGAGAGCGAACGGATGTGAAATCATTGAAAGTTAGAGCGTCGCTTTTCCCAAAACTACTTTGGCAGTCATTTGGGTAGCCAAGGCTGTCGCTGTTGTCATTTGGTATTTGCAGGATTGAACACTTTTTAATTTTGGGCAACGAGGAAGGAAGAAATCGATAAAAAGTTGCAGATTTTTGTACTTCCTGTCCATTGTTTTTCTGAACTAAATCTATTTCAACAAGTTCAGAAAGAAGGAGATCGTTTTCCTCTTTCAATAATGTTATTTTTCTCTGAAGAGAGAAAATTTTAACATCTTTCCATCTCAAATGCTCCTTCATCATGCGAACGACTGGATCATCTTCGTCTTTTTCTCGGTCCTTTAAGTATTGCTTTCGTCTTTTTTTTCGGAATCTTCGCTCCCTGTTCTGCTCTTCTGCAACTATGCCTGGATTACTTTCCGAGAGACTACCTGATGCATTGCCAAAATCTCCACTCGCAAACATATTCTCATCATCATCATTCAGATCATCATCTGAAATAACGTTGTATCGCAAACTCGTGAGATGCATACTTTCTTGATCTGAATCACCAGATTCCAAAAAAGAAAAAAAATTATCCATTTTCTCTTGAGTGAAAAAGTTCTTGTCTTTTCCGCGATCGAACAATAGTTTCACTGGTTTAGATGTTTCCTCGCTTGGCCATTGGAGATACGCCCGAAGCACATGGACGGAAGCTGAAGTTTCTGTAAGCATGGCTTCCACGTCTGCAACCGCAGTAGATAATTCTGCATTCGAAGCCTCACTCGCTGAACTGGCCTCAGGGGATGTTTCTTTACCCCCATTCCTCACTTTATTCATTGACAAAAGCTCACGCTGTTCTTTATCGAAAAAATCTTGCAATAAAGTCATTATCAACATATTTAGATAAGAAATAAGACGAAGTGATCGGTATTTCAGCGATGTGTGAAAACGTGTTTCTAAATTTTTCGAATCATTGCTAAAGAGACCGGCGTCGATACTGGATTCCATGACTATGGGCAATATAGTTTAGGGAACACTAGATGATCACTGATGAAGTACTACAAAAAACCCTGAGAAATGAACAGAATCAAATTTAATGTCTGCTGGACAATAATTGCATGTGGGCGCAACAGGCGAGCGAGGTGGCAGATGTATATTTGTATTTCATTGATTATTCTTATGCCTACTGTGTTATAACTGTATCCAACTAGCAAACTAGCCCATTTTTGCCTTTGCGTATGGCATTTGAACGTTGAACTAAGCATCATGCAGTTGATTTCCCCGCCATTATTGCGGCCTGTCATTTGAGATTGAACAAAACTTGAAAATCTTTGCCAATGCTTTGGAGGCTACCCACATGTATGCATTGCATACCTATTTTTTTATGTAGTGTTTGGCATCAAATAGATACCTGAACAGTATGCCGTGTTTACAATAAAGGGCCAAACTGCATGTGGAATAACCTCTCCACTGATACGAAAGCCTGGCGCACAATTGTGAAAAGAAACACATGTCACTTAATTGTGAACACATTAAACAATTATTGAATGAGGTTGAGCAGGATATGAGGAATTATTAAGGCCGAGGTTTGTGTTATCTGCCGAAGCCGAAGGCTGAGGCGGATAACACAAACCGAGGCCTTGATAATTCCTCATATCCTGCGAGAACCGAATTCAATAATTGTTTTATTATTTATTTGCAAAAATTTTGGGCTTAGACTAAACGCTTGCGTTGTAGACAAGGAGACGCAAGCTGCTGAAAATTGAACAACAATAGCAGTGTTCCGAATTATGAATAAACCAATCAGACGAGAAAAGAATAATTCTTAATACTGTTGTCAGATGTTGTCAGTCTTTTTCTTCCAGCAATTTTTTAATTTCATCTTCCCCAAGGTCAGCGAACCTTTCCTTTGATGAAGCCATTCGTATTTTCCCGCTTTTAGGTTTTGGCACAAGCCGCATAAATTAGCGTGACGTCATACCGTGCAATAATTTTTTTCATATCTGACGAAGTGACGTCAAACGTGCAATAATTTTTTTCATATCCGACGAAGTGACGTCACTGTCCAAATTTGGGCAGCTGCCGAGCGGATATGACGATTTCGCCAACAGCTGCTGGCCAATCAAAACTCTTGACTCATTTTCAATAAATAATAAACACAATTGTCAGCTACACACTGCTAAGTTCAGCAGTGTATATTATCGTGAACTGCATTCGAGGCGGCCAAATGCGACGTATATATATAACCTAGACCTAGGCCTAAATTTCCAATTTCACAAAACGTTTTAAAATTTTAAAAACACAGCACATCATTTCAAAAACACAAACAAATGAAACCATATAGTGATTTCCAACAATTGATATTTTTTACATTCATTTTTAGCGCACGGCACACGCCGTAGTTTGTATTTATTATATCAGTGCGCCCTGATTATATGTATTGGCACCGTGCGCGCCTCATTAGCGGGCTTCTGTGGAAAACCGAGAAGCATATATTATTACTCCGGCGTCAGCGACGGAGTTGAAAATTCGCCCCGGTTTTGTTTTGTTTGTTTTTTTTTTATTTTTCGTCGTCGCAAGTCTGAAATGGCGCGAAACATTCTAGTATTTAAAATGTGTACGTGACTGTATTTATTTACGTCCCAGTCTTATCTCCTAAGAGTTGTGGTGCACAGGTTTGGCTAATTTTCCGATGCGCGATTCGATTTCGCTCGCATGATACGGCAATTCCTTCAAGAGGAACAAATAAACCGTTGTTTTCATGCTCTCCGATTAAGTTTAGATTGAATTGGAGTAAGAATATATTTGATACATGTAGATTCTTGTCCTATTTTAATAATATCGCTGCTATTTCGCCGTTTAACAAGATGATGTGGTCGTGTATGAGCGCGTTGACACGTCGTAGTTTGCACAGGATTGAAGATATAATATATAAGCGCGAATTCCAAAGCCTAAGTGTAAGACAAAGCGAATGTATTATGCGGTTTGTTTACATTTTCGAACAATTGAACTTCTATACTTTTTAAAGTACGATGTGCTGCTGAATTTCGCGATCGAACACTTAGCTTCGTAAGGCATCTAAATGCGAATATGAACTGTATTGTTTATGTTCAGAAGCTCTATATTAAAGACTGGCACGTGCGCCGGAGTTAACGCCAGAACAGGCGTCTTGTTGCATATATGTTTATTTAGCCAATTCATGGAGCAGGGACTATAATTTTGGTGTATAAATGACATATTACACTGAAAATTTGTGGACTTGTAATGAGAACGTAAAACGTACGCTATACTATAAAATCCAATATAACTAGGGAGCAGCGTGGCAGCGTCTTGAAACAACTTGACATCAATCTATTTTAGGCATTTGTTATACCACATTTGATGCTAAGTACGCTATAAAAGGTAAATTTTACCGCTTTACGCATAAGAGCCATAAGAAACCACACAGAGAATATTCAAGAAATTCCAATTGAATAAATTTGGCACAATAGACCTTATATGCATAAAGACTTGTTTGCAGGAAATGAAAGTGTTCGGTTTCCTTATTGGGCAATTTTTTTATTAAGCTTGATATGACAGGGTCTAATCTCATGCAGGTCTTTCCATCCACTCAACAATTCACACGCTATGCTTACGCAACGGAAAATAAATATTTGTTGTTTGACAATAAATTTAGCTTAGCTAAGCAAGATTTTTACCTATACTATAATACATTATATATTATATACGTATATCTATACATATTATTATCCAAAAAGTAAAACAGTAAAAAGAACCTAGCAAACCGTCACTGTAAGTACATTGATTATTATTAGGTGAAGGTATTGAGATGTATACTGAAGTACTGAACAAACGTCGAACGTTTTTTTACATACACAACTACCGCGGAAGTCAAGCAGAAAGCCGTAAAATGCTATATAATTCAACATATATAATCGTAGATTACGTTTATGTCGTTTAAACAATTTTATAATCGTAAAAACTGGACCATGTTAATAAAATTACCGTGACTGCGGTGTATTTTAGCAACGCAATTTTACTTTCGATTTGTATCATTTCTTATTTCTATAACATTTGTTGCCATTAATAGCTACGATGGAAAATTATAGAACCCTATCCACACACATTACGTTAACTACTAGGCATAAATTAAAATCTCACCCGATTCGATTTCGTTGCCTGTTTGAAATCCCCAGCAAGGCAGCAACAGACCTACATAGTCAAAGTGCTTGCTACTTTACTCGATTTCGATGACAAATAATAAGTCGACGTAGTTGAAGGAAATAGCTATTGTGCAACTTTACTGATTTTATGACTCATTAACTTTGATAGGCCAAAATTATGTGAATGCATTTTTAAAACATTCTTAGCTTGTGGTCATGTGGTTCGCCATCGGCGTCGGCGTCAAGTCGGTGGCGAGGAATAGAGTCGCTTCGCAGTTCGCACGCTACACCTCCTCCGCAGGCTCTTTTCGGGCAAATATGGCGGGCGGTGATATTTTGCGAGTAGAAATTCTCGTTTGCAATTGACGACTCAATTGGCGATTGAACAATGTTGTGCTTCCCATGCATATTGCATGTTGACAGTTATTATCAGCACTGCGTGTATCCATGTAGAATACCTGATTCATGCAGCTCCAACGATTTGTTCAATAATGGTAGACAAGTACGAGACGTTGACAGCACATTTGTTCGATAGTGCATCTAAGAGTTTTCGGCCCTATAGACAAGCGGACACGCGAAAGAGTTCTGTTTTATTAGTAGATCCACTCCTAGGGTTATGGCTTATATAATCCACAATCTATGCATCTTAAGCCGGTTCACTGAGGAGCAGGCTTTCCATCACGAGATTTTATGTGACGAGTTTTATCAGCTAGTTTCTTCAAAAGCAAGCCACCTTGTCTTTAGCCTAGCTAGCCATAGAAGAGCACTTGCCATAGAAAGCTGCGGGCTAAGTAGAAATTTGTAATCGTTTGCTACGTTATAAGACATGAACAGGCGAGCAAAAATTGCCAGTTAAAATTTATCGAAGAAAAGTTGTTGCTGCGGGGTTTATAATATGAATAACAAACAAAGCCACCACAAACACAGGCCGCGATTCGCCAACGCGATGCGAATTTTCAGTTTTTTGAAGCAAATGAATTCAATTCTTGATAGAAATTTTGATAGCTGGGCCCTAGACATAGGGCAGAAGGGTTGGCCTAGTAGAAAACCAATTATTAAAGAAACTTTTATTTGGTTTTTTTGCCTATAAAGGAAGAAGAATGAATTATAATAACCCAAGTGGGTCTATATTTTCTATTCATTGATGAATGCAATTCTATACTCCGCAATGCACTCATTATGGTCAACATCCTTGGCAAACCCGACTATGATTGCATCAATTTTATATGAATGACGTTGTTATATGCATACTACAGGATGTGGCCGGATATAGGCGGATACCGAATCCGCCGAGCAACTGCATGCACAGCATTTTGAAACCTAAGCAATTTTTTATACGGGTCACGCGGGTGGCTGTCTCCGAACGGGTAAAAAAAACAAATAAAGCGAGAGCGTAAACGCATGCATCCCTGCAAGTTTTTTTCAGTTAAAAATATCAGCGCTAAATCGCTAACTCAGCTTGGCATGCCGTTGTTCATGTTATATATTATTAATAGTATATTATTTCTACTTTTTAGAACGAATTACGAACGACAGTGGTGATAAAACCCCAAAAAACGATACTGTCTTGCATCGTATCACGCTGAAAATATTTTTAACTGAGACCGTTTCTGACGTCGGACTTTTCATATGCCGAACTAGTTTTACTTTTAGTTTATTTGCATTTGATTCAGAAACCGGCTTCCAAAAAAGTCAATCACTCAAGTTATCAAAGAATAAGCACTATACTCTATAGCATAAAAGTTTTTTTTTTCATATATACTAACTATATACACAATTTAGTATATTTACACTGAACCGATCTTAAACTGACCGGCGTTGGATTTCGGTTTCAGAATATCAAATTGATCATCTTGGGGCCGCGGTTGTATAAAAAAGTCGTTAACTTTTAATTATATATAACTAGTGGCAGAATTGCCAATCAGAATGTATTTTCTAGTTAACTATGACATAACTACTGAAAATGCAGTTAGAGTTTTTTTACATCCAACCCCAGCACTTTAACGGCAGAAGCTGTTTGAAAAGGTTTTTCATAATTCCTATATACTTCATTGACATAAATCCTATTCCATAATTCCTATAATTTCAATGCACAATTCCTATACTTCCTATATATACATAAATCCTATCTATATTTCCTATAATTCCTGCTGACATAATTCCTACACTTCAGTTTCGTCGAGATGTAGATTCGACACAAAATACTGCTTTAATTCTGCCTCTGTGAGTCTAATTCGTTCGGCTTCTTTAGTCTCGTATACGGCAACGATTGTTCTTTCCTTTTCAGTGCTGCGGTCATCTGGTCCACTGAAAGGGAAATAAACAATACTTCGTTAATACCTTATACAAATGAAAAACAAATTTAAACGATCATAAATCGGTTATCATCATTGTATGCATATATATAGGTGTGCCAGAAATGCTGATCTATGACCTAAATATGTGTCTTTAAGAAAATTTCTGGTGCATGTAAAAAGAGACACAAACTTGATGAAGACATACACAGGTCACGTCGCCGTAAAGTTTAAAATTTACTGCTTTTATCATCCAACATGGTCTCTGTGACCATCACAGATACGAAATATTATTGTAATAAATTCTTTTTTTTGTATATACTGAATATAAAACCGTACATTTCGCACTTTATCATCACAGACCTGGATCCCGGAGCGTTGATTGGCTCTTCCTCGCTTGATGTCTCCTGCCGTGAGAAGACCTTTTTCCGGTCGACTTTTTTGTACACGAAAACGATAATTGCACAAAGTAAAAGCGTCCCTAGAACTGCAATGATTATTGGCAAGACTGAAGAGGAACTTTTCGAGCTTGGAGTGCCAGGATTCTCTGCAAAATCTACCACTTTTGTGTCTCCACGAGACGTTCCGTTTTCAATCGTCTCTCCTTCCTCTGAGGTGGTCGAAAAAATTTCAACTTCGATGGTGGGAGAACCTGATGCCGTATGTTTCTGAACTTCAGTCGTCGGCGTACTTGGTGGTAATGTTGCTTTCTTCTCTAAGAATTCGTACAATAGCATGTGTCAATATTCAATCGAACCAGGCTGGCGTCATGTATATGCAGGTAATAGGTTTTATACTATAATAGGAATATCACAATTAACGCGCTCGTGCATCGGCATATCTGATTGCATGTTAACCGTAACTTAATTAGGCTAAAAATCAATAAAACGAGGACGGATAAAGTTTGTGTCGTTGGCATGAACTTGTCTATTTGATAACTGAAATTCAAATATGCGGTTTGCATGTGTCTAAAACGATTCGTTGTAAATGCATATAATTTCACAATCCTACATCTTAATCGCACCGAAATCGACTCAGACAAAGGAGGGAGTGACTTTGACGCACATCATGACGCAAGAGGTTCAAAAAGGAAAAATTCTGACACAATAATCGAATTTCACATTAAACGTGTTTTACCCCCAAAACGGTTTAAAAGTTCCATGTAAAAGACCTTTTTATTAGGTTGCTGCATGTGTGTTTTAAATCAATTCTGTGTCAAAGCTATGGCCAAAGTCGCGCCATCCCGCGCAAAACATATCTATATATACATACACTGTAATGCGATCCTACATAATATAATATATAACTCTGACATATACAAAAGGTGAGTCGCGACCTATCGCAAGGCGAGCTTGATATGTTAGTTTATATGGTTCGTCTCTTGGCTTTGAATGTTGCTCTTGATAAAAAGATATTAACATGAAGTACTTCATTAAACATATGCGTATACTTCAGCCCCTCAAAAGCATATATTAGTATAGTCGAGTTCAAATTACTCTCAAGTCTTACCGCAAGCCTGTCGACATCTCCAAATGTCACGGGCGTCTTGCTCCCCACAATTCCTAGGGCAAAGCACACAGCCAGGTATATCCTGACTGTAAAATTCCCCCGCCGGACAGCATTTGCCGTCCTTTAACAAAAGTAAACCGAGAATGATTTGGTACGCGCTTAGCTTCATGTTTGTTGATCGTTTTGGATGACGGGCGAAGAATGCGACTGTATTCTATCAAACTTCAAACGTAACGCTTAATTTCAAGTTTCGTAAGCGGAACTTATTATTATCATTTATTGCAACATCATGCATCCTGTGAAAAAACTGCGTTATATCCTTAGCCACCTATAAAGTTCTCAACAATCTTGGTGCTGACGTTGTAAATAGTTTGGCATTTTCATGACGTAACTGCGATTAGATTTAAATATATAATCAAAGGCGGGCATATATATGAATAAACTATAAGTGAGGAGAACCCACTTGAATATACAAGAATAGTTAAGCCGGTAGGAAATAACAGCATTACGATAAATGAGGAATTGCCAATTCAATTGGCTGTATACTATTTGAGCAGCTAAATTATATATAGTGGTATGGAGTATGGACTGACAGAAATGTGGATACAGATGATAACAAGGAAATATGATATGTATACATGTCTCCTAAAATGCCGTAATGACGCAAAAGCTTGCTTTCCAGAAAGACTAAAGAATTGTCTCCAGCAGAGAACCGGAGACACGCAATCAAATACGCCCATGAAATTGAAATTGCAAAATATCAGACAGGATTGCGAAATGTGAAAGTTATATCATTTGAAACCTCTCAGGAAGTTTGTTCTTCTCCTTTGTTTTTTCTACTTTAAAGCCAGTAAGCTAATAAAAAGATTTTTAAAAAGTTATACATACCACACGCTTCTTTGCATCGATTGACGGCGCGATAATATTGATCGTCGCATCTTCCACGAACAGGGCAAGCAACACAGGCGAATATATCTTCAGTGTAGTAAGTTCCCGCCAAACAAATTGGTACACTTTCGGCGACTTCTTTCGCCAACGCACAAATGAAGAGGAGGAAAATGATATGAGATCCGTTGAAATTCTTCATGATTAATATTCACAGGAAGGTTACAGTAAGACCTTCACGCAAACTATAACCTCCTTATTCGAGGAGAGTCACTTTGTAAAGAAGAAACGGACTTGCTAACCAACTTATATTTATAATTTTGCCCACTCACGAAATAGCTTTGACGTCAGAAATCGTCATGCGAGCCAGGATTTCAGTTCGTCACACCGGTTGTATGAAAGTGTAGATACTCGATACCCATGGTAACCCTTTTTTATAGATTTAAGGTATTTCAACTATGCCCGCGTGATTCACCCCCTACAATCAAAAGAAACGAGTACATACGTATTTGAATCTAAACACAACCGTGTAAAATATACTCTCAGGCTGTTTTAGTTGCGTGGTAGAAGTGATTTTAGATCTTAATTTCATTTTGGCGGATACGGTTTGACTATGGTTTGATGAAGTGGCTTCTGGATCGACAAAGGTCACGGCAGCGTATATGTATGGGTGAAAATTACGTACATACCAAATATGTTTTGGAACTCAATAAAGCCCAAATATCGTGGTATATATGATTCTCACAGAAAAATTCTGTTGAGACTATATACGCGTCGAAGGGCGAATCTTAACTTAAGACTTGAAATTTTCATATTTAGGGGTTTTCCCTCCATTTCCGTTCGGGTCTGTGACGCACAAGCTACAAAATCATTCTGTCTGGAGCATTCTATAAATCTTTTTCACCTGAGGTTAGTACGAAGCAATACCTTGAATCTAAAATATTTACAGCCCGCCATGCGCAGACGTTCGAGGTTTAAACGATATAAATGAATTGAACTTTAACGTTCCACAGGGCTCCTGTCTTGGCCTCTTGGGCCTCTTTTGTTTATATTATATGCCTCCAGTCTATTTGATATCATTGATAATCATTTACCGGATTTAGATTGTTTTGCTGATACAGCCAGTTATATCTGTCGTTTAAGCCTGACGATAATAGTGGCCAAAGTGATGCAATTTCGCCAACGGAGGATTGTATTAACGTTTGTGAGAGAATATATTTATTAGCTGTGTTATATACAAATAAATTTGAATGGTCAAAATTGAGTAAAACAAAATGTATCCTATTCTATTTCAATTTGCAGCCTATATGGTTTGTCAGTGAAGGTATTTATATTATAGCAGAAGTCATTATTGACTACACGAAGTATCGGGGATCAGTCCGCCAATTTTGTTGGTCATATTGACTGCTGTCAATTGCCCAGAACAAGTCGGAACTATTCTCAAGCGTCACGACCATTTAAATATTTTTTTTTAAGTTTTGTGCTGCGACAGGTTTTGCAGAGGAAACATATGCACACATGCAGTCTATAATTGGTAATATGAACAATAATTGTCAAATAAAAGTCATCAAGTCATTTCATATCCCCTGGCTGGCCGTTCTCCAAAAAAATTATTCTGTTTTAGTTGTTCACGTCTTTCAAAAAGCATTATTCACTCGTCTTTAATCCTCTTTTTGAGCACAACAGAAAAGAATCCAAAAATGCTGACATCGTTAGTTATTTGTCACACAATCGGTGTTGGTTGCCATGAAACCCAAATTTTGCATTCGATCCCCGGAACTCTTTCTCGACCTGTCTGCTCGAATAACCCATTTCAGCAAGTGCTTTCCGAGGCAGAAAATGATTCAGCAAAGAATCCTAACAACCGCACTTTTAGAAACCTTTCCGCTGAACTGCACGAAGCTGTTTTTGATTCGTCAGCATTCGTCATCAATTTGAATGTTTGAAGACTAATGTTTAATTCTCGTTTTCCTCAAGCAGTAACGTTGATTTTAGCATTTTTTCCGTCTCTGAACATGTCCGGTTGCCTTGTTCAGGCACAGGAAGTTCTATTCCTTCAACGCTGCCAGCTCGTTCACTAAAACGTAAATCAATGTTGTAAATAAGTTACTAGTATTAGAAAGCATTTTGAACGATCAAAAATCAGTTAATCCATTGTATGCAATATGTATGCAGGTCAGAAGTCTTGGATGAAAAGAGCGGTAAATTTCAATAGCTCTAAAATTGGCCGCCGTAAATTCCCCAATTTACCGCGTTTTTCATTCAACATGGTTATGCAACCCCCCGCTCATGTCGCCTATTGATACAATATATCGAATATACCGTACTTTATACGCCTGATAGTGAAAGGGCTGGATTCCCGAGTTGAATTTGAAGCCTCGCTGCACATTTCGACTTGTTCTCCCTCTCCTCTTTCATTCTGAAGACGGTCCTCCCCTGAAGCGGGCTTCTTGACCTTCCGGTATGCGAAATAGACAACTCCACAAACCAAAAGTGTTACCAACACTGCAATGGTTACTACCATTGCCGATTGCGAGTTTGAAGAGGAACTTTTATTTTCTGTAGGATCGGGTTTTTCTTCAAAACCTACGTTTACTTTTCGGCCTCCGCGAAACGTTCCATTTTTCTTCGATTCCGGAGCTTTCTCTGAGGGGGTCAACAAGGTTTCCGTTTTGACGGCAGGCTTCTCAGTGGTATGGCTTGCTGACGTGGGCTCCTGAACTTTAATCGTCGGCGCAGCTGGAGGTGTGGTTTTCTTCTCTATAGCAAATTTATATAAAACACGTTGTCAATATTTTGCTGGCGGGGTATACCCTGTTGAACTGACCACTCATGCTTCTTATATCATGACTAAGTGTTTTGCTATCTGAAGCCTCGGTTTTCTTCTCCAGGGGTCGGTTGTACCAAACCCGTTTAGCTTAAACGGTGGTTTAGTTCAAAATAGAAAGCAAATCTATCGTTTTATTCAAAAAGTAAACTAAATGTTTTTAACCTTAATACAAAGATACTGTTCACAACTACGAATTCAGTGCATAATATTCAAGTTGACTCATTCAAGAGAGATGTATATAAGAGTGTTATTTAAATTTGACTTATGTGCCGTTTAAGCTAAACGGGCTTGATACAACGGGCCCCTGGTGTATGCTACTAAGTAAATTTAGCAGAGTAGCCCTACTTTCCTTCGCCAAGTACAACTGCGTACACAAATAACATAATTCACACAATATAACATACGCCAGGTAGAAAGTCGCCAATAAAAATCGCTCGTGTAGCCGTGTTGAGGGGTTGTCAAGACTATCATATATATTTATAGCAGTATTCGTTTTGAGTAATATGAGCCTATGTCACAATGAGACATCAGACATCGCTTTAGCAGACAAAACGCATAATGCCAACAATTGATAACATAGTCCGGTCGATCACGGCTGATTCACTTCCACGTAATGTCTTTGAGCAATTTCGAGACTTGCTATAAATGAATAGAATTTGGACGGTTACGTTCTTTTCCGTGGGTATCGAACGTTACCGTTTTAATTGCCTCGTAATTGACTAAGACAGGGAAGGGACTATGACGGAAGTAATGACGCAGGGAAGGTCAAACAGAAACATATGTGTTTCTTACACCAAGCACAAAATTATAATTATTGAAATAATTAAAACACAGACAGGTTCTAGAATGGCAGACGAAGAAGGAAAGGGTATAAACACGGAACAATTCCAAAGTTTGAAAGCATTTAAATTTTTCGTGCGTAAGCCAAAAACGCGTATTAAGTGAGCATTGTTGGCCAACCGCTAAGCATGTAAGATGAAAGCGATTACAATCGAAGTCAAGAGCTTCTCGGGTACGAAATACTCGACATTGTTATGTCCGTATATTATGTTCACTTGACCGCTCAAGACCTTTGTGATTCAGGCAACATCGATGTGTTATTGGGCCGCCAAAGAGGAAAGGAGATCGCGGTTTTTTAATTCCTACAAGTCAAGAACTCAAAAACGTTTCAATGACAAAAAGAAATTCTGGAAGCTATAAAAAACATACGAGTCACAATGTACTATCGTTAGGAAATCTTCAAAATATTATTGCAGGATCACGTTTATTCGCTTCAGAAAGATACAAATTCAGTAAAACCGTGAATGACGCCGGTGTCAAAGATATGCGGCTATAAATTGTAGTGCAATAATTACCCTACCGACGGTCAGTCACGACCTATAGGCTATAGGAGCAAGGCGCGCCAATCACTGTAATAGGTTATAGCTTATATCCGTTCGCCTTTTGTTTTTAAGTACGAGGAAATCAGATATATTAAGCATAATCGTATGCTATTATCCTCAAAAACATATACACTTAGTAATAGTCGAACACAAAGTTCTCTTATAAGTCTTACCGCAAGCCTGTCTACATCTCCAAATATCACGGGCGTCTTGCTCCCCACAATTCCTAGGGCAAAGCACACAGCCAGGTATATCCTGACTGTAAAATTCCCCCGCCGGACAGCATTTGCCGTTCTTTAACAAAAGAAAACCGAGAATGATTTGGTACGCGCTTAGCTTCATGTTTGTTGATCGTCTTGGGCGAGAAGCGAAGAATGAGACTCTAACAAACCTAACGCTCTTTTTCAAAGTTTCCTAAGCGGAACTCTCATTCCGGTTATTATTAATGATTGCAACATCATGCATCATGTGAAAGTTTCGATGGATCAGTCGGGAAAAAACTGCGTTATATATGTAACGTATTGACGTCACTAAACCTCGTCACAGACGTACGTCACTAGACCTCTTTGAAGGGCGGATTTCCTTCTTGTGTGTTTTCTAACGCATGCGCAGATTGTATGGATAATATTAAAACATAATAATCTTATATTTATATAGCAACGATCAGAGCTGTACTGAAAAGCCTTTCTGCTAGAATTTACCTTTGTTCAACTGAAATAGTTGGTTTTGCGAAGTCTATTTCGTGCTGTAAAAGCCTTTCTGCTAGAATTTACCTTTGTTCAACTGAAATAGTTTGTTTCGCGAAGTCTATTTCGTTCCCCCGTTTCATAGCAATTATGAACATGCGATGATCAAAATGCTTTACTGATTTTACGATATTATATCGCCGCAAACAGCTATGTTTGTATGTATATAGTCTGTATTGATAATAACTTCGCATCAAAGTGTAGTATAAGTACTGCCTAAAATAGACAAAAGCATGTACATTTCTCGAAGTTTCGACCACTGGGCCTTCGTCGGCAGAGTTTGGTAAGAGTTAGTTGAAGTGATCATAATGAGTATGAATAATTATGCATTGGCCGCGACATGAGCCACCTCAAGTTCTCGACAATTTCCGTGTTAACGTAAATGTGTCACGAGACACATTACGCACATAGTTTGCATTTTCATGACGTAACTGAGATTCAATTGAATATATAATCAAGAGCGGGCGTAGATAAAAATAAACTGAGGAAAACCCACTTGAATATATACAAGAATAGTTAAACCGGTTGGGAATAACAGCATTACGATAATTGTGAAATTCCCAATTCAATTAGCTGTATATTTGAGCAACTAAATGATAAATAGCGATGCCCTGGCAGAAATGTGAAGATGATAACAACGAAATATGATATGTATGTATGTCTCGTTACTCTCGTAAGATGCCGTAATGTTTGTCTGCGACTCTGCAAGGCAGAATGCATGACGCAGAACCTTAATTGCTTCCCAGAAACACTCTAGCTGACACATTTTCAAAAACGCCCTTGCGATTACGAAATGTGATGAAATCAGGGTTGCGAATTGTGAATGACATAATCTGAATTTTCTCAGGAAGCTTGTTCTTCTTCTCTAACCTCACGTCAAATCTCCTTTACTATTGTGCATGCCCATAATGACACACGCTTTCCGGTTCTTACGTTGCAGTTGCCAAGATTTGAAACAGGTAGAAGTTACTTGTTGTCAGGCAAAAATTTCAAACAGGAAAAAATTAGTGATTCTAGACTTGTTACTGTGATAGACGTTTTTACACCCAGCAATTACCGCATAATACAATTTCACAATTTAGCGGATACTTGAAATTTTTTAATGCTATATAAGAATTCCCGTAGAGCATGCAGTATGTAAATTAGGCAGAATAAACTATGTCTATAGATATGTCTGCTTTGATTAGAAATAATCAATGTCTGCATGTGACGTAAATTTGTACCCGCTATTTTTACCCGAAATTTCTACCCGCTAATTTGATCTTTTTTTCGCTGGCGCCTTATCATTTTATAGAGAAGTTACCGTAGGCCTCAATAGTGTTTATATATAGCAGGTAATAATAGGTAGGTTGGGAAATATCGCTCGCAGCCGGCCAACGGGCCAAGACTTACTGAAGTTCCTGCGGGTTACTTTGATATGTACAACATTTTTAGCTATAAGATATATAAGCTGGTGGGAATAATGTATTAATTTCCCTCGTAATACTAAATTTAAAGCCATTAAGCTGATAAAAATATTTATAAAAAGGTTATACATACCACATGCTTTCTTGCACCTATTGACGGCGCGATAATATTGATCGTCGCATTTTCCATGAACAGGGCAAGCAACACAGGCCGATAGATCTTCAGTGTAATAAGTTCCCGCCGAACAAATTGGTATACATTCAGCGACTTCATTCGCCAACGCACAAATGAAGAGGAGGAAAATGATATGAGATTCGCTGAAATTTTTCATGATTATTATCCACAGGAAGGTTACAGCATAAGACAACAGTAAACTATAACCCCTTTACTTGAGCACTGTCACTTCGTAAATAAGAAAACTGAATTTGCTTTAAATTTTTGCCGACTCATGAGACGAATCTGCAGACGTCAAGTACGTCACCTCACGCGTGAAGATACCCATGGTAACAAGTGGCCTTTGACCCGCAAATTAATTGTCAAATTATTTCCGGTATTTTGATTATTTCAGTATGCGGAATTATTTCAGTATACCAAACGTATTTGAATCTCAGCATAACCATACAAAAATATAATCCCAGGCTGCGATTAGTTTATTAGTTATGTTGTAGAAGTGACTTTTTTTGTCTTAAATTGATTCAACGTGAATTTAATTTCGGCGATTCAATTGAGTTGAATACATCGCTTCGACGAAGTGGCTAACTGTGGCTTCTGGGTCAATAAAGGTCACAACGCGTATTTGGGGTGAAAAATACTTATACTATTAAAGTATGTTTTGGAACTCGATAAAGAAAGCAAAATATCATTGCATACATGCATGATTGATGTCTCACAGAAAAACTCTGTTAAAACTATACGTCGAAGGGTGAACTTTAAAGGGTTTAAAATTTCATAATCTTTCTGCGATATTTTTCGTGAACCCAGGGGTTTTCCCGTTGCCGTTGGCGTTCGCGTTTGCGTTACGAAATATTTTCTTCATTTGAGGAATTGTTTGATTGATCGGGCTGTGAGCGAACGGGAAGTTATAATCACTTGTTTGCTATTATATTAAATATTTCTATAACTTTTCTTCACCTGATGAAGTAAGTACGAAGCAATATTGGCCTTGAAACTAAAATATTTATAGCACGCCATACTCAGACGTTTGAGGAATAAATTATATATGCAAAGCAACTTCGTGCGCACGAACAATATTACGTCTTTATTGAAATAAACAAACAATAAAACATTTTCGGCTCTTCACTCCATATTTAGGATAGGATCAATTTAGTTGTGTATTATTTCCACTCGAAGTTATAAATATAAGACTCTTTAACCCCTAGTAATTATGTTACATCGAGTGAAGTGTCACAAAATTAAAATGAGTTACCCAGTGCCTATTCGCAGGCTAACCTATCATCCTGACACTAAAACCACGCTCGCTCTTGTCAGGCTCAGCTACCTATATAGCTCAGTGGCAAGTTGATTACAAGCAATGGAATTATAATTTTGTGAATTGGTAGAGTGCTCGAAATGCTAAGAAAACGTTAGCAGATCGTAAGAGACTAAGAGAAATGTTCGTATTCGACAACTTCACATGCCTCAGGAGTAGAGTTCCAATGCAATCACAAGTTGCAAGGGAAGTTCCATGGTGTAACATCGCCTTTATAAGTTCGAATTTTAGTTGTGTATGATTGAACACAAAGAAACCTTTCATCGCACCATCTTCTTCGGACATCGCAGAAAACAAACCAAAATAGATCAAAGAAAACATGTATCTGCATGTTTCGACACAAGGGCCGTACGTCTCGACAGGAAGTAACTCCTCCGAGGTGGTCAATAGGCGAAACTTCTAGAAATATTCCCGCACATATCTATAGAAATGCTATATTTAAAAATATTGAACCATGTTGAATCACGCCAACATTTCGCTATGACAACCATCAAGTGTTGCACCGCGAATTACATTTACAACACGAAGTATTGGTGGTTTTGCGCAATTTTTTTGGTCAAGATGAAATATTTGATGATAAACATTTATATATTTGATCTTAACGCTGACAACGCTCTCTTTTTCGCCAACCGGATTTTGAAACCTTCGCCAATAATATATAAATTTGCCACAGTCATTTGCGCATCGTCGAAGTTCGTTTGTCGAACTTCTACATTTTTATTTCAATTTGTGTTGTTTATTGCATACCGTTGGTAGGTCTACAACGGCTTTGCCTTCTGGTTAAAACAGGACATTTTGTCCTGTACTGGAATGAATGACCGCGGATTCTATATATACTAGTTGTAAGTTTTTGCAAGTTTACTGATTACTCACTGCGGTCTTTCAGAGAAAACAGGATCGCATTTCAAAAAATCCTTCGTTCGAACGCAATGTGGAGTTCCAAGAACGAATGGTCGTCGTCACAGAATACAGCAAATTTCTATGAAAGGAAGGATTTTATATTTCAATAAGAATCAAAAGAAATTATTATGAAATATCGACAAAGTCAACTAAAAGTCCTTGAAAAGTCACATAAGATCTAAGCCCATGAGTGTCGTCAGCTAAGATAGCTGCACCCGAATTGCAATTTAATTGCGGCGGGATCAGTTTTATATATTTATTTATAAATGTGTTGAATCTGGACATAGGCAGTACATTACATTACTGCAGAAACTATAAGATTCGATGAGTACTTAAGAAAATTGTGAATTCGACAATCCATGTTAGAAAGAAACTAACTATATACAATAGAATATATATATATAGAATATAGCAGTGTATCAAGAGTAATATAACCAGGGAGCAGCGTGGCAGCGTCTTCAAACAACTTAGCATCAAACATGGTATAACAACTGCCTATAAAATAGACAAAACACTTCTCGACGTTTCGACCTGACTCACCTGAGGGCCTTCGTCAGAAGAGTTAGTATGAAATTACTAACTTTCCTGACGAAGGCCCTCAGGTCGAAACGTCGAGAAGTCTCTTGTCTATTTTAGGCAGTTCAGTGTTATACCAAATTGATGCTAAAGTCTATCGAGAGGGCTTGTGATCACAAAAGCATGACAATTTTGCGCATAATCTACTGTGAACCGAGCTTAGCTTCCGGCATCAGATGATGATTATATATACTGGCTTATTACGGCTACTTTCGAAGTATAAATATTAAAGCCCAACATGTATATATATAGTGCTTTAATATTTATACTTCGAATACGCTTCCCGCCCGGCACGTCTCTGGCAACATTATAGCTACTTATATTTAAATAAGTGTAAAACTGGTGTAAATACAATTATACAACGATATAAAAGTTCCTTAGCTCCTTGGCGTTTCAATTTTCCGTCAAGGCGAACTTTTGAAAAATATAAAGCGGTTTAAATGTTTAAACAAACCGGTATGTATATTATTACACTACACACGGTAATTTCCCTCTAATGTGATTATTATATTGAAATGTTATTTTTATTCTTACACTTCATGCTTACATTAGGCTAGATGAAAATCCCATTGAATTCTTTATTGAATCTCATAATTTAATTCTAAAAATTCACAGAGGAATTACATTACAAAACATTCCATTACTCCCAACTTCACATCACCATTGGATGATCTATTGACTTTACATATTGAGCATCGTTTTCGAGCGTTTTTAAAATCGTTTTTGTCTAGTTTATCTTCTCGAGGTCCTGTCCACATGATCCAAAGTGAAATATGCACAATATGTTAAGCTAACTTAAATTTCTATCGTAAATTGATGGTGTATGAAACCGTTTTGGCGAAAACGCTTGAAATGTTACCTGCTTATAAAATAGCCTGCATGTCTTCAAGACACAAGGGCGAACTGATTAGATTTGTCCCGCGTTTGCGAGGTCTACCGAAATTCAATTAGGAATACCAGGTAATTTTAGAAGGTCGCGATCTTCTTCACGCAGAACAAGTTTAGTTTTCACCTCGTTTGCGCGTTGAAAGAGATTGGAGGGACTGCTTTCCGTGAGAAGGAAATCGCATAACTGCACTCCAACGGTGGATGTCTGCCTCACTGGTGTTTCTTCATTCACGGATATAATCATGGCTGGTCCTGACGTGTTGTAAACACCGTCAGAGACGCATCCCTGTCTGGCGTAGTCGTAGTCGAGAAAGTCCTTTCCCTGACCTTCGCCGCTGGTGAAGATGAAAAACTGGCCCGAAATCGGTTCGCCACCTTTGTAAACGATGGATGTTTTACACTTGGCTAGTTTCTCTCTTTGGCCGCAAGCGAGGAAGACCGCTGCATGGTGCGCGCTGATGTTCCACATCTTCCTGTAAGCCGCTGAATACGAATAAGCCATTCGACAATTTATTTCGATCAATGTCATTTCGTCTCCTCGCTGCCAGAACTCGATGTCGAAGAATGTGTTGGTGAGACCAAAACGCTGGGTCATCTTTGCTGTGTAGTCAGCAAGCTCTTTATATGTATCCCCGTCCAGTGAGCATGAAATGAATTGTGGGATAACCCAGTGAAGAAGCCTTCCAGCCTTATCGGGGGGAGTTTCAGAAAAACCTGAAGTAAACATTGTAAAATTTCCATCGTTATCCAGCCAGCCCTCAAAACAGTATTGTTTGGTTAATTTAATGAGCTCTTCCACAACAGCATTTCCGCCTCATTTCTGACACAACAATGCCCAGCACTTAATGCGAGAAAAGGCGCCTTTAGAAAGCAAGGATAGCGCATTTTATCCTTCCCTTTTCGATCCGTCTTTCTCGAGTAATACTTGTGAAGACAAAGAATCTTCAAGTTACCACGTTTGTTGGATTTTTGGAAATATAATCAAATACCCTTCAAGTTTCGCTTTCTTAAAGGTATATGTAAATTTGTAAAGCTATCGGAGTTTCTTCATAGCAGTTTTTACTCGTTACCAGGTAACTTCAAAAGGTAGCGGTCTTCTTCACACAGGAGAAGCTTTATTTTCACGCTGTTTGCGCGCTGAAAGAGAAGCATTATTGGTCGCCAATATCTACGAGCTCTTCCACAACAGCGATATAATGCAATGATAGCGCATTTTATCCTTCCATTCGCTGGACGGTTTATCCATGTTGATGTGATCAAACCAAAGCTTCCCATTTTCCGTCTTTCTCGAGTAATACTTGTGAAGACAAAGGAAAGTGGACTCCAAGGTAGGACCTGGACCAAAATTTGTAGGCACGAGATCACACATTAGAATTTTAGTTTCAAGAAACGTTAGCAATAAACCTTTTCAGCTTGTATGCAAATTCACCCATTTCAAGTAACATGGTCTGAAATGGTTAAGTTTTATTGGCTATTTCATGGTCACAACATCTGATAAAATGACTTAATTTGCATGCTAGTTGAAAAGGTATATTCTTTCAATAGTCTTTAATGAAGCTATATATAGGTTATATTGTATATGAATAATATAATATTTACATACAACCACTTCAGATGTTTCCTTTGCAAACTGTGAAACCTGAACTTCGAGAACGTGATAGATGGATGACGATGGGTTGTAAATTTGCAACCCGCTATTTATTATGGACAGCCTATTTATTATGGAGCTCGTACACGCCAGAGCATTCGTAACTTATTACTCGTTCACATCAATCAAACGAAGAAAATCGCAGCAAGAATTGCAAGTGTACACTGGCTTTAAACGGGCCTTTGTATTGCATGC